TTTTTTCAGTGCTGTTGTAACATTGGTCACTAAACGAATGGTTATAAGTCAAGGACTACCTGACAGGAGTACTAGTTCTATTGTTACTATAAGGTTACATTCACAGGATCTTGCAAGACTGATGAAAGTAATTCTCCTTTCCTTTTATCTTCTGGAAAACTAAATAGAGTTTCTTTTGAAATGTTTCTCATGCTATTCCCTCTTCTATGCCTGAGACAGTTTTTACATGTGGTTGTCTAGTCTATGGCTCTCCTTCCTGTCTCCCAGCCTCATTCTGGCATACCATTACAGATCTTGATGATCCAGATCAACAGATGTAAATTCTACCTTATATCCCATGACCGTGGCAAGTTGCACAGAGTTCAGGAAAGTCTATGCAGGAACATCTGCCTCCTTCAAAGATCAGCAAGATACACAACTTCCATTCTCTTTCTCTCTTTTTATCTTGTGGCTTGAAGAAAGGATGGAGGCCCTTTATTGCAGTAAAATCGGTTTTGTGTTGTTTTTGCATGCTCCCAACACATTTATTCCTTCTGTACTCTTCGCAGGTAGGATATTAGAAAAGAGCAGAATAACACAGTAGCCACAAATAATGGATTGCCAAAATTGTGAACTCTTAATAATAATAATAATAGTAAAGTTGGAAGGGACCTTGGAGGTCATCTAGTCCAACCCCCTGCTCGGGCAGGAAACCCTACACCATTTCGGACAAATGGCGGTCCAGTCTCTTCTTAAAAACGTCCAGTGTTGGAGCATTTACTGCTTCTGGAGGCAAGCTGTTCCACTGATTAATTGTTCTCACTGTCAGGAAGTTTCTCCTTAGTTCTAGGTTGCTTCTCTCCTTGATTAGTTTCCACCCGTTGCTTCTTGTCCTGCCTTCATGTGCTTTGGGAAAGATTAATTCCCTCTTCGTTATGCAAAGCCCTTGCGAAATTGAAACACTGCTAATCATGTCCCACATCTTGTTCCTTCTCTTCGTTTTAAAACTAGACAACCAAATTCTAGCAACCGTTCCCTATATGTTAGCCTCAGTCCCCTAATATCTTTGTTGTTCTCTGTCCTCTTTTCTAGAGATATCAAACATCTTTTGACATCGTGTGACAAAAACGGATGACAATATTCCAAGGGTGGGTAACAAGGCATTAAAGAGGGTATTAATACCCACGTGATCTTGATTCTATTCCCTTCTGTAATGGCCTAGCACTGTGTTGCCTTTCTGCAGAGGTCAGCACAATGCTGGTCATATTTACGTGATTGTCTACTAGACTCGAGGTCCCTCTCACAGTAGTACATTGAGCATGGTGCCACCTATGCTGTACTTGTGCATTTGGTTTTTCTTGCCTAAATGTAGAACCTTGCTTTTTTCACCATTGAATTTCATTGTGTTAGTTAGTGCCCAGTGTTCAAGTCTGTCCAGATCCTTCTGTATCTGAAGCCTGTCTTCTGGAGTGTTGGCTATTCCTGCCAGCTTGGTGTCATCTGCAAATTTGATGAGTTCCCCATCTATCCCTTCATCCAAGTCGTTGATGAAGATGTTGAAGAGTACTGGGCCCAGAACAGAGCCCTGGGGCACCCCACTACACACTTCCCTCCATATAGATGCAGTTCCATTGAGGACCACTCGCTGAGTACGGCCGGTCAGCCAGCTACGGATCCATCTGGTGGTGATTCTGTCTACCCCACATTTTTCTATCTTGTCAAGTAGTAGGTTGTGATCTACTTTATCAAATGCCTTACTGAAGTCCAAGTAAATTATGTCCACAGCATTCCTCTGATCCACTAATTTTGTCACTTGGTCAAAGAATGCAATAAGATTTGTCTGGCATGATCTATTTTTGACAAACCCATGTTGGCTTTTAGTAATGACTTTGTTTGCCTCTAGGTGTTCGTTGATTCATTGTTTGATTATCTTTTAAGGATCTTCCCAGGTATTGAGGTCAGGCTGATAGGTCTGTAATCCTGGATCATTTTTTTCCTTTTTTGAGGATGGGGGAACTACATCAGCTCTTTTCCAGTCCTCTGGTAGTTCCCCTGTGTTCCAGGATCTTTGAAAAATATAGTTCAGTGATTATGAGATCACATCTGCCAGTTCCTTGATAACTCTGGGGTGTAATCCATCTGGTCCTGGGATTTGAACTCATCTAGGCTGGACAGGTGCTCCTAACCATTTCTTGCCTATCTTAACTTGTGTTCTATTCTGTTTTTTATGGCACTATTTTTGATAGGTTGGTCTGTTTTTCCCTTTGTGTAAAGACAGATGCAAAAAACGAGTTAAATAGTTCTGCTTTCTCCCTGTTGCTTGTCACCTTCTTGCCACTTCCACCCACTAATGGACCAATCATTTCCTTCACTTTTTTCTTGTTTTTTACATGTTGAAAGAAGCTTTTTTTGTTATTTTTGACTTTGGTCGCAAGCCTTAGTTCATTTTGAGCCTTGGCTTTCTTCACTTCATCTTTGCAGGCTCGGGCTATTTGCTGATATTCTGACTTAGTTATGTTCCCCTCTTTCCACTTTCTATACTTGTCCTTTTTATCTTTCAATTTGTCAGAGAGTTCTTTATGCAGCCATGCTGGTTTCTTTTGAGAGCTGTTTTTTTCCTCTTTGTTGGTATTGTGCTAGACTGTGCTTTTATTATCTCATTTTTCAAAATTCCCAAGCTTCTTGAGTTGTTTTCCCCTTGAGGATTCTCATCCATGGAATCCTTCCCAAGCCCTCTCTAAGTTTATTGAAATTAGCTCTCTTGAAGTCCAAGACTCTAGTTTGACTGTGTTCTATTGGTTGTGCTTCTATAATGTTGAATTCTAATATTGCATGATCACTTCCTCCCAGGGTTCCTATGGCTTCAACACCGTCTATCATTTCATCTCTGTTAGTGAGAATTAGATCCAAAATGGCTAATCCCCTAGTTCCCTTCTCTACTTTTTGGGAGACAAAGTTGTCTGCTAGGTTTGCCAGGAACCTGTTTGATCTTCCACTTGGTGCGGAGTTTGTCTCCCAGTTGATGTCAGGGTAGTTAAAGTCCCCCATTACTATTGTGATGTGCTTCCTACATACCTTATTAGCTGACTGCAAAAAGTTCATCTATTTCCTCTGTTTGGTTGGGTGGTCTGTAGTATACACCTATGGCAATGTCATTCCCCCCCCTTTTATATTGACCCAAATGCATTCAAGACAGTTTTTATCATTGTTGTACTCTATTTCTGTGGGAGATGTAGTTATTTCTTATATAGAGAGCAACTCACCTCCTCTTTTATTTGGTCTGTTTCTTTTAAATAATTTAAACCTCTAGCTGTGTGTTCCATGTGTGAGTTTCATCCCACCATGTTTCCGTAATGGCAACAATATCGTATCTGTCCTCATTAACCTGAATTTCTAGTTCACCCTGTTTGCTGTTCATACTCTGTGCATTGGTGTATAAACATTTGAGTCCTTTGTGAGTGGCTCTGTGTTTCCTTTCTACATAGCCTGTGTGGTGCCTGAGTTCCCCTAGTGTCTTACCACCTATTTGGTTAGTGCACTTTATGTGGCACTCGCTATTAGAGGCTTCATTTTGATTGATAGCAAGGTTGGTATTCTTGTCCACACACACATCTATGCTACATGCACTGATAGCCCGATAGTTTTTAAATTGCCGGGGACAGGGTTGTTCCGTATCAATTAACTCCCTGTCCCCGCTGTTTAGTTTAAATTTCCCTCCAGAAAATCTGTGAATTTATAGCCGAGTAACTCAGTCCCTATTTTTGATGGATGCAAACCATCTCTTTTGTACGTCTTTTGATTGGACCAGCTACTGACATCGTGACTAATATATCCAAAGCCTTCCCCTTGCATGTATAGTGGAAAAATGGCAAAGAAGGTCTACAGTAGTTTTCTCTTCTTCCATCACCTTAAAGCAGTGGTTCTCAACCTGTGGGTCAGGACCCCATTTGGGGTCGAACAACCATTTCACGGGGGGTCACCAAACAACGCAGTCTGCCATTTTTTTCCCCTTTTCCTTAGCTGTGCTACTCCCTTTTATTCTATTGGCTTTTGAAAGCCAATAGAATAGACTCTCTTGAATAGAGTCTAATTCTATTGGCTTTCAAAAGCCAATAGGAATTGTCCAGGCTGTCTCTGCCCTGCTGAGCCCGCCGAAAGTCCCATTCTGCAAACGGTGCTGCACCAGTTGAGTAGTCCTCGACTTACGACTGGTTGAGTAGTCCTCGACTTACGACCGGTTGGGGGTCGCGGCATTAAAAAGGTTGAGAACCACTGCCTTAAAGGAACTTGCGCATATGGTAGCTATGATCAGTTCATTTATCCTACCCTCTTCATCAAATGGTGGTATGGATTATTTTGTGACTAAAGGATTACACACTGCACATGCCGAGATGACCAGAAAAAAACTAGCACATTTGCTTTCTGGTGCAGTTCATCCTCAACTTACAAATGCATTTGGAAGTGGAATTTTGGTTGTAAGTCACAATGGTTATAAGTTGAGGCACCCATATGGTTGGACCCAATTTTACAATTGTCTCTATGGCAGTTGCAACTCACAGAGTTGTAAGTGCGAACCCATTCTCCCAAATAGGTATCTTTTGCCGAAACCAGTAATGTAACCACAGGATGCTGCAATTAGTCATAAATGTGAACTGGTGGCCCAGTGCCTGAAGTGTGGTCATGTGGCTAGAGTGGGATCTGACATTTTAGGGTGGCTGGAAGTGTTTTGCAGACTAGACCACCCTTTCTGAGGCCATCTTAACTTCAAATGGTCTTTAAACAATCAGTTATAAGGAGTGTATCCAGAATGCCGGATATTTTGTGTGAGCAGCCATGATGTGATCTTAAACGTCCAAATGTGCCTCCTATTTGAAGCTGATTATTCAATCACATCACCCCTTCTGTCTAAGGACCTAAGATACAGTGCGCTTTGTAAAATTCTTTGTTCAGATTTGTGGGTTTCTGCTATTAATGGTTGATTTTTTTTCTTAATTTAATCTTAGTGTTTTCTATTTTTATAGCCTCCTCTGGTCCAAGCCATTTTTAACCGTGACATAGAGGAGGTACGGTCATTACTGAGTCAGAAGGAGAATATCAACGTGTTGGTAAGTGTTGGAATAATACTTTTCTCTTGGTAAAGAGTTCTGCTTGATTCTGTTTCTCTTGACTTTGTACACATATATTCCCCCAAAATTGGCCTTTCCTTCCAGCTGGCTATTTTGTGTCCTCTTTATCACCTGAACACCACATGTATAATGTGTAGATCAGTGGAGTCATGTTTGTATTCTGCCATGAGGATCAGTCATTAGATGTGACATTCCCGCATCATAGACAGTCAGGGTTTGGTTGGGTTCTCAGTGGGCCCTTTTCAAACAGTTTTTCATATCTTGGCATTGGTTCCAGATTTGTAAGATGATTATAATAATTAAATGATTTTAAGGTTGTTCTAGTTATAAATAGATAAGGATAGCAAAGTACTTAGTATATTCAGAATTAGTGCATAGCACAGGGATTGTTCATTATTGGTAAATAGCTACTTTGTTGGGAATTGGCTGTATAGTACCAGATGTATTGGTCTAGTTGTACTGAGCAGTGGGTGGCACCGAAATTAGCAGTTGTGCTTGGCATGAAACATGTTCTGGATTAGTCTTGTGGTCTCTAAGTGAGAACAGCTAGTGTTGTATGTTTTTTTTTTTAATTTTATTCTTGTACATCCCATGAAGCTGTATTTGGCTTTTCATTCCATTCTAGCTCACTTAGCAGAGGCACATAATACAATTCATGCCTATTTAATATATATAAATCTTGCCACAAATTGTGCTATTTATGAGCTGATTTGATCTCAGAACCAGGGAGTGATATTTGGATTGTCAAAATCTGTATTGCATTCATTTTGAACAAGATTATTGTTTTAATTGGTGTTGACTTTTAAAACTTTGTTGCATTTGCTTCTAGGGGCACAGGTAATCCTTGACTTACAACCACAGTTGGGACAAGAATATTGCTTGCTGAGTGAAGCAGTGGTTAAGTAAGATGCCACATGATTGCTTCATTCAAAAACCACAATCCCGGCAATATTTCTGGGTGGTTAAGTGGACAGAGTGAAAGAGCTGCCTCCCAAGGAATTTTGGCTCAAAAGCCCACAGGGAAGATTTCAATTCTGTTTCTGCAGCCTGCCAAAGGATTTCCCCTTCCCTCCATGCATAAAACGGAAATCCTTTCTGGGCCTAAAGGAATGGAGATTTCTGCAACCTGCAGGAGGAGTTCAGCCCTCCTTCAGCCCCTTCCTTTGCAATCTTTCCTGACTGCTTTCTATCCAGCTTTCTGGGGAAGCCTGCAGAGAAGATTGCAAGTGGTCAGATGGCAAATGGTTGTGGGGCACTTGGCAACCAGTCACTCTGGTTGGCAATCTGGCTGCCAAATATCTGTAATGAGGTCATGGAGTAATTGTGGGGGGGATGCAGTGATGTTTTAAGATGGCCGGAAGTGCTTTATGTTGGTAAAGCACCCTTGCCAGCTGTCGTAATTTTGAATGGCCTTTAAATAACCCGTGGCAAATTGAGGATGACCTGTAATGAAAGCTAGAGTTACTAAAGTAACTGCCAATTACGGATAGTCCTCTATTTACAACCATAACTGAGCCCAACATTTCTATTGCTTAGCAAGGCAGTTGTTAAGTGAGTTGTGCCCCATTTTATTTTATTTATTTATTTATTTATTTATTTTAAAATTTATAAGCTGCCCCACTCCCGAAGGACTCTGGGCGGCTAACAATAAAAAACACATAAAACATAACAGGACAACAGTACAAAGACAATCATCCAGGGGTCAGGTTTTATAAACCCCAGGCCTGCCGGAAAAGCCAGGTCTTAAGTAGCTTACGGAAGACCAACAGGGTGGGAGCGGTCCTAATCTCCGGGGGGAGCTGGTTCCAAAGTGTGGGCGCCATCACAGAGAAGGCCCTCCTCCGTGGCCCCACCAAATGGCACTGCTTGGCCAACGGGGCCTGAAGGAGGCCCAGCCTGTGGGATCTAACCAGACGTAGGGAACTATGAAGTAGTAGACGGTCTCACAAATAGCCTGGCCCTGGGCCATATAGGGCTTTAAAGGTAATGACCAACACCTTGAATTGGACCCGGAGACCAATAGGCAACCAATTTTACTCTTTCTGCCATGGTTATTAAGCAAATTACTACAGCTATTAAGTGACTCATGTAGTGGTTAGGCAAATCTGGCTTGCCCCCGTTGACTTTGCTTGTTAGAAGCTCCCTAGGAAGGTTGCAGACGACCAACCCAGGACCTGGGACACTGCAGCCATTGTGAACACATACCAATTGCCAAGTATATGAAGTTTGGTCATGTGACTGTGGGGATCATAATTGTGAAAACTGCTTGTAAGTCATTTTTTTCAGTGCCATTGTAACTTTAACAGTCATTAAGTGAATGGTTGTAAGTCAAGGACTACCTTTGGAGGATCTGTCACAACTTCAGACAGCTAATCAGCAGCCACTTGTTAAGGTTTTCCAGAGTTAAAATTTTCCCACTGAAAATATTCTAATTCAGGTGAATTTAGGCCTTGAGAGTTATATGAGCTGTTGTTATTTTCTTGTCTACTGCTCCATGTTCTTTCCAAAATTGCAGTAAAAATAATTTTTTTTCTGTACATCAGAATGTTTAGAACTTTTTAAAACATTCATGTTCAAACTTCATAAAAGAGGCGAGATTTGATTTTTACATCATATAGTGTAGTGCCAATATTTGTACAGACTGTAGATATTGAGATGAATATTGTACCACGGACAAAATATTTCTGGATAAAAAATAGTTGGGAACATGCGATGGTAATGTAAAGTTATATGCATCCAATGATAAGTTATTGCAATATTTCTGATAAAATCTAAGTTACAGAAATGGATACAGTCAAATATTTGAGAAATTTTAATGGCAAGACTGTCATGCTTTGGATGTGCCAATCTATGATTGCACTGTTAGTTGCCTTATATTTAATTGGATTTCCAATTCTGTCTGGTGTAGGAGAGAGCAAATTGAGATTAACCAGCTTGCTATCAGTACACTTGCATACATATTTTATACTGTGTACTATTTTGCTTTCTGAGAAATGTATATATATAATCCAGGCACCTTGACAGAATGTCACAGTATTGCTAAGGATTTAAAAGTACACATTTGACTAATGTCAAGGATTGAACACTCATTAGACTTATTCTTATTTTCTTTGAATAAAACACAAAATTAATGTTAAATTATGATTGTGCAAAAATGTCAGTAGTTCTAGACTAATTGGCTTTCACACAAAAAAATGATCACAGTTACTGAGTTTTTATTCACTGACGAGCCATTGGTAATTGTTAAGAAACCCTAGAAATTGCAGGAACGGTTTGAAAACACCTTGAGACCTTTACTCCATTTGTCGTAGTTAATTGTTCCTTGAAATTAATCGGGAAGAAAACGTCAAAATAAAAGGTAAAGTTACATATTCATGACAAAATGCCTTCCTTCTAATTAAGACCATTGAGCTTGGCTAAGTTAAAAGGAATAATTGGGTTCAAAAGCAGCCCAAAAGGGCCAATTTCACATGTGGGTTGAGAGAAGAGGCCATGATGATTAGATAGTGAGGGCGGTTGGATTAATTTGTACTTTCTATCATCACTGGAGAAAAACAAGAATAGTTGGGTAGACAAACAGGTAGTTCTCAACTTACAACCGCTCGTTTAGTGACTGCTCATCGTTACAGCAGCACTATAAAAAAAGTGAAACAACCATTTTTCACACTTAGGACCTTCGCAGTATCCCCATGGATCGTGTGGTCAAAATTTAGGTGCTTGGCAACAGGCATGTATTTATGATAGGTGTCGTGACCTGGGGGGGGGGTGTCATGTGATCGCCTTTTGCAACTTTCTGACAAGCAGAATCAGTGGGGAAGCCAGATTCACTTAACGACAGTCGTATTACTAATTTAACAACTGCAGCGATTCACTTAACAACTGTGTCAAGAAAGGTCATAAAATGGGGCAAAATTCACCTCACAATCATCTTGCTTAGCAACAGAAATTTGGGGCCCAGTTGTGGTAGTAAGTCGAGGATTACCTCTATAAGATTTCTTAAGATTTTGTTACTGAAGTTGTATACTTCATTTTATGTTCTGTCCACTCAAAGGATCCTTAATTATTCCTGACTTGAAGCAAATTAATTATCTAATCAAATATTACTGCCTTTTGGCAGATAACTTGAGTGTATTTATGGAAGATATGCATATTGTATAGGCCAGGGGTAGGCAACCTTGACTCTTTTATGACTCGTGGACTTCAACTCCCAGAGTTCCTGAGCCAGCCATGCTGAGGGGAAAGGGAGAGGTTTCCAAGCTGAGACATGCTGGCTCAGGAATTCTGGGAGGTGAAGTCCACGAGTCCTAAAAGAGCCAAGGTTGCCTACCCCTGGTATAGGCAGACAAGTTTAGTATTTTTGCTACTTGGTATCTGGCATGTTGGATAAAAATATGTTTTTTTAAAAAATATATATAAATGAGATTGATTTTAAACTTTAATTGAAATCAGATGTTAAATCTTGATTTTTTTTAAAAGAAATGGACATATTTCACAGATATATATATATATAGATATATTTGTGAACATAATTTCTACTTCATTAAATTTGCTAATACCCTCATAAGAAATAACTTCTTTCTGAAAGTGTGAATTAAAAAGAAGTTAAATAGCGAATTTGAGTAAGTAAATAAAAACATTTAAAGCTTTTGATATTTTTTTTAATACATCATGGCAAATGCATCTTCCAAACATCCACAATAATTAATTGAATGGAAGCTGGTCCAGCTTCTCATCACTTCACCAAATATGTGTTTGCTTGATTCTAGGAGCATCTTTCAATATTTTGGAAAAAAATTATTCTGAAAGGCATTTAACACAGTTCCTTTACAGGTAATTCCTGGACTTACAGTCATGCGTTCAGCATCCATTTGAAATTAAGACCATGCTGAAAAAATGGACTTAGTATCCATACCAAAGTTATGGCCATCCTCCCCGGTCACATGATCAAAATTTGAGCACTTGGCTACCTGCAAATACAACTTCAGGGGCGCTCCACCCACCTATCTCTCCTGTAATCTATGCCCTTTTGGCTGCCCTGCATATCTGCAGTCAGTGACAGCAGCAGTGCCAGGGCTGGGGCTGAATTAGAGGCTTTAGCAGTTTCACAACTGCCAGTACCTCCAGGCTTCTTCTTCATCCCCAGGGCCACTGCTGTCACTGAGAAACGCGGCCTCAAGCCCCACACCGTGCCTTGCCATGCTGGCACCATTCTGCAAAGCCCCAGTTGCTTCCGCTGCCCTGCACTCCACACGATATGCAACGCCTCGCTTACCTTTGCCTTTTTTCTCCAGCTGCGGACAGGCTTGCCCAGTGTACGCAAGGCAGCTACTGGCTGCACCAGGCCTTCTTAACAAGGCCACCTTGTGCCATTCTCACCAGCTTTTAGAAGCTTCATTTCCCCCAAACCACATGATTTGGGGGATGATGCTTCTAAACATGAGAATGGAGCTTGAGGATTACATCCATTCATTTATTCACCAACTGTTCAAAGTTACAGTCACACTGAGCAAGGGATTTACAACCACTCCTTGGAATCCCCATGGTTACATGATTGTGATTTCCAATATTCCATGCTGGCTTCCCATAAGCAAAATCAATAAGGAAGTCAGAAGGAAATTGAACGATCGTGTGATCGTTAATGACCTGAATGGTCCTCGCTTAACAATGGCAATGGACTGTTGGAACTGCTTTATGACCACAGCAATGGCAACTCTGGTCCCCATTGCATACCAAGGGTTACCTACAAATAAGTAAAATCCACCATTGGGTTTAGTCACTGTTTTTGACTCTTGCCATATAAACTTCGGAAATGTGCAGCCAGTCCTCAACTTAAGACTACAATTGGGACTGGAATTTCCATTGCTAAGTGAGGCAATTGTTAAGTGAGTAGCAGACTCACCTTTTTTGTCATAGTCATTAAGTGAGTCACAATGGTTGTTAAGTGAATTGCATGCTTGTTAAGTGGCTTTTCCCATTGACGTTGCCTGTTGGAAGCCACCTGACAAGGTCACAAGTGATGATCAGGTGACCCCGGGATGCCACCACTGCCATAAATACATGCCAGTTGCCAAATGCCCAAATTTTGACCATGCGGCTGCTGTGATGGTTGTAAGTGTGAGTATCGGTTATAAGCCACTTTCTTCAGGGCTGTCATTAAAAATAAATGGTTGTAGGGCAAGGACTACCTGCATTGCAGATCTAAGCACAAGATGATTTTAACCACCCAGAATCACTCTCGATAATAAGGGTGGAATATAAATTTAGTAAATAAATAAATATCCTTAGATTATGCAGAATATAGAATGTTTATCTATCTATCTATCTATCTATCTATCTATCTATCTATCTATCTATCTATCTATCTATCTTGATTATTTTGTTTCCCCAAATCAGGACCAAGAGAGACGAACCCCTTTGCATGCAGCTGCATACTTAGGGGACACCTCTATTGTTGAACTCCTAATACTATCAGGTAAGGATGTGACTTGGGATGGTCACAAAGAATGAATGAGAGCTCATAAAGCATTATAGTGCTTTCCACCTTCAAAGTGCTGTAGCTAGCAGATTGCTGTTAGTAATATTTTTATTGCTAGTCATGATTCTCAAGCAGTGGAGATTTATGGAAATGTTCCCCTTCTGTTCAGTGAAGCTATTTAAAAACTGACAGCTCTGAATACTGTAACTCTTCCTGTGTAGGTTGCAGGGCTGAATTAGCCTTCTGGACAGCTGAGCCAACACAGATGGTTTTTGATCCACATGCTAAATCTTTCCAAATTAACGGCCATAAAAAACACTGGCTTACAATATAACCTAAAGCAAGCGATAGTCTTTGAAGACTGCCAACAACATTGTCACATCATTTTTCTCTTTTTTTAAAAAAAATTTGCGTGAAGATTGGAATGAACTTTGATTCTTTCAGCCCCTTTATTAGGCTGGTTTCTACTTACTGATGCTTACTGATGTCAAGACTCTGAGCAACAAAGATAATTAGGGGGCTGGAGGCTAAAATGTGAAGAACGGTTGCTGGAATTGAGTTTGTCTAGAAGTGAAAAGAAGGACTAGTGGTGACATGATAGCAGCGTTCTAATATTTGAGGGGCTGCCACAAAGAAGAACGGGTCAACTTATTTTCCAAAGCATCAGAAGGCAGGACAAGAAGCAATGGATGGAAACTAATCAAGGAGAGAAGCAATCTAGAAGTAAAAGAAATTTCCTAACAGTGAGAACAATTAACCAGTGGAATGACTTGCTTTCAGAAGTTGTAGATGCTCCATCACTGGAGGCTTTTAAGAAAAGATTGGACAGCCACTTGTCTGGAATGGTATAGAGCAGACATGTCAAACTTGTGATGTCGCACGACGTATCAGAGCTTTTTTCCCATTGCCGGCAATGGGGTGGGCGTGGTTTTGTTGTGAAGTGTCTGGCCCATGGGCCGGCAGTTTGACACCCCTGGTATAGAGTCTCCTGCTCAAGCAAAGGGTTGGACCTGAAGACCTCTAAGATCCTTTCCAACTCTATTATTCTGTAATATTTCTGTAAGAGGAATTGTGTGGAAAACTATGGAAGTTAATTCTGGGGATTACATCTTTTTCAGATGCGATTCACAATCCCCAACCCCAAATCTTTGAAATAAATGATGCTGATTTAGCACATAGAATGTTTGGCCCGTAATGGGACAATTGTTTTAATTTTCAACCATTATTTTTTTAAAGACAGGGATACCCCCTAAGTGCAGTACTAACGTTCTTTTCTTATGAATTAGTTGGCAGTTTCCTTGGGAAACAGCTGTTTGTTAAATAAGCATTGGGATTAAAACATAAAAATGGTCTTATTGTTAAGATGAAAGTCTAAGGAATGCCTTGCTATTCAACCAGTTTAATGTAATCTTTGTTTTCTTCTCTTAATCATGCTTGAGACAACTTGCTTCATCCCCTTTATTTTCTATGGATAGGTGCTAACGTCAATGCAAAGGACAGTCTTTGGCTAACCCCGTTACACCGTGCTGCAGCTTCTCGTAATGAGGTAAATGTCAAGTCTTTCACAGGGTGCCATAGTCATGCTGCTAGTAAAATGACAAAGTAAATTCCAGACATCGAACATAATAAACTGCCATGTTTAAGCCAAGTTCATTTCCCCTTTTATCTTTTTATTCTTCATTGTAGTAAATATTTTGAGAATCTTGCAGAACAGTCTTTATCTCCTTGGACACGTTGGGTAGCAACACCTTTTGGACGACAGAGTTGAAAGAACCACAAAAGGCTTGCAGGCTATTACTAACAGTACATTTTCCCATGGGACAAAAGAGTGAGGCAGGAGTATAATGGTGATCGCCTTGTAGTGACTCATTCCTGAGCCTTCTTGTTTACTGAGGAAGTTTTGTGTCTACATTGGCAATATACGAAATGTAAAGAAAGTAGAAAGAACAAGGTTTATTTGTTTGTTGTATCAGCTTACCGTATATACTGCCCAATCACAAACTCTATGTGGCTTATACAGTTAAAAACAACAACAAACCACGGTAAGGGTAGCAAAGTGACAAAACTCCTCTGCCCTGATTGTGTCTGCAGACAGCTTTCTGGTGGCCTTGTTTCAGGTGATACATAATTTTGGAGGACTCCCTACAATGCCATGCAGAAAAAAATTGCTGAACATCTGTTAAAGTATCTCAAATTCATTCTCAACTGGACATGGGCCTTGTTGTAAATCCTGAGGGGATGCCTGGGACAGTCTTGCCTTGCTATCTGGGAATGGTTCGAATCTGTTGGGCCTGAGGAAGTGTACAGGATCCTTATGACTATGAGCTCAGCCACCTGTTGTTATGATCCATACCCGTCCTGGCTCACTAAAACTGCCTTGGGGATGTTGTTTGAGTGAATTCTACAGGTGGTCAATACTTCCTTGAGGGAGGAGATTGTTCTTCTGTTTCTTAAGGATGGGCTGGTCTGCCTCTCCTCAAGAAACCCTCTCTGGCTCTTACCATACTGGACAATTTTCTAAGGTGATTAAGAAGGTGGTTGCACTGCAGCCACAGAGGCCTGTGAATAGAGAGGAATATATGGACCCCTTTTGGTCAGGATTCAGGCCTGGGTAGAGGATGAAAATGCTATTGGTCACATTTTTAGGGGATCTCTGGCAAGAGTGGGACAAGTGTTGTATATCTGTCCTTGGCTTCTTAATGACTTTCAGTATCATCAACCATGGTATTCTTCTGGATTGAATCTGTTACTTGGGGGTAGGTGGCACTGAACTGTGCTAGTTCTGCTCCTTTCTCTGAGGTCAATATCAGTGATTGGGGTTGAGAGATTTTGTGCTTGGCCCTACTATAAGGAGTGCTGCTGGGTTTGGTGCTCTCTTCACTTCTATTTAACATCTGCATGAAACCACTGAATGAGACCATCCATTATCATGGGGTGAATTATTATCAGTACATTAATGATCCCCAATTATACGTTTTCTCTCATGGAGAATTAAACCATGCTGTTGATATCCTATCCCAGTCCTAAGACCTATGTGGGTCCGGATGGGAAACACCAGACTTTAGCTGAACTGTGGGAAGACTGAATGGCTTTGGGTTTGGGGGCCTTCCATTTCTGGGACTTTCCCATGTTTGGTACTGGATGGGGTTGCACTTCCCCAAACAGACCCATTGTGCAATATGTGAGTCCTCCTGTTCAAGTATTGTGTGCCAGTTGCACCTGTTCCTGGAATGGAGCCTGTTACAGTCAGTCTTGCCCTGATTATCTCCTGGGTGGACTATTGCAAGAAGTTTTTTATGGGGCTATCTTGAAGAATTCAGTTGGTACAAAATGTGGTGGTGCAGGCGATTTGTATCCCTAGATTGGCTCTCATTACACCTCTGCTCCACAAGCTGCATTGATTGGTAGTTTCCTTCTGGATCCAACTGAAAGTGCAGGGTTTTACCTTTAATTGGGACTGCCTTTTCCCAATTGCATGTGTCTGTCCCATCCATCCTGCAAAAGGGTAACTTGCAGATTCCATCTATTAAGAAGTTATATCCTTCTCTGTGGATGATCATTCCTCTTAAGGTGAGATTGACTCCTTCTCCAGCACTGGAGATGGATAATCCACGCAGTGGGTTGAGACTGTATTCCTGGCCAATCAGATCAGTCAGCCAAAGTTGCCACGCCCCGTCTTGGACCATGATCCTCCAGTCTTGACTGATCTCGCCATGAAGACACATCTAGAACTTTTGGCTCCTGGGCAGGTATAGTTCCTTTCCATTAGGGGGGGATTTTTTTCTAGTAGCTGAAATTGCTTAGTTTAAAAGTTAATTAGAGATAATTTAATTCAATTTAATTGACCACTCAAAAATTTCCTTGCTAAATTGTAAAACTCAGGAAGTCAGATTACTACAGGGGAAACCTCCCCCACTTAAAAGGGGGAAATCCCTAACTCCCCTCCCTAAACAACCCCAGCCACCTTCCAACAGCCGGCAGCCGCCTTAAACAAACGGGGGGAGGCTCGGGCAACCCCTCGCGTTTAAAACAAACAAACAAACAAAAAAAAAGACAGAAAGGCAAGCAGTTAGCGAGGGAAGCGGAGGACAAAGGGGATGCATGCTGGGAGGGAGATTGAGTAAGGGAAACAGCTGGCGTGCGAAGGAGCAGTCTTTTCACTCCAGGCTGCTCAGGAATTTTTAAACGAGGCGCCATTGTCTGCACAGCTGGAAGCACGCGCAGCTCTTTGTTAAAACCGCACGTGGCATAGGCAGCCTTGTTAACACATGCGCAGTAGTTTCCTGGCAGCGGCGGCCATATTTTTTGTCCAAACAGGGGAGTTAAAGTTCCTTAAGGAAGCTAGGTTCAGCCGCTGGAGTGAATAATAGGCAAGCAGTACTGGGGTACTAAAGCATCTATTAGTCATTCAGAGACATTCAAATCAGACACATAGCTACTGATGCCAGGACTTGGTGTCTTCTACCTAAAGTAAATAAGAACCTTTCATAACTAACTGTGTTTAGTTGCCTTTGGCTCCTTCCAGACTTCGGGTCCCCCATTAGTGGCCCGTACGCCTCTGGATTTAGTGGTGGGTTCCAGGCATCCCCAGTCGCGTGCCTGTCCTTACCCACCATAGTCAAGCCGGGTTCCAGGCATTCCCATTAGCGTGCCTGTTCTTATCCGTGCACAGTGACTAACTCTGACAATTTTGCAGAGTCTGCTCCTGAGTTCCAGACGCCCCCAGTAGTGCGCCTGTCCTTACTCAAAGTTGGAGCTCTCCTACTACCTGGGTCCCCCCTATCGCGGCCCAGCGTTAGTGGAGAATGGAGGAAGCAATCATTCCCTCCACTGGAGCCCCGCCTTCATCCTCTGGAGCACCTGCTTCAGAGGATTCGGAATCCTCTGCAGCCCCTAGAAAGGCTGCAAGGAAGTCATCAAAGAAGGCTGACAAACAGGCAATCAGAAGACACCAAGCCCTAGAAAAAGAGTTCGACAGAGCCCAGAAAAGGGCCAGAATTGAAAATAGGCAGAATGGGGGAATAGGTTCTGATCTACCGCTGGGTCTCCCTTCATCCCCACGGGCCATTTGGTCATTAGGGAGCTCATCACAGTCCCAAACAGAGGGTGGGATAGGCGAATTCTCATCGCTCTCCCGATCCCCCTCCCCACGGAGGTTGCAGGAAACCCCGAGGACCATGCTAACCACAGCACCTGCAGGGTCCCAGGCAATGGTCACTCCTCCTGCATTGACGGGGGATCTGCTAGCTACCCTAATAGCACAGGCAGTGGACCGTGCATTTGAGGCCAGGGCTCAAACTTCAAAAGCCAAGTCTCTAGGACTTAGAACGAGGCATCGGGAGGAAACGGAGGACCATCAGGACCTCTCCTCCGTCTCAGACTCGTCGGTATCTGAGGAAGCTTACCTGGACCAGCCAGGTACGTCACAAGTGATTCAAATGTCTGAGGAGGAGGAGGACACCTCACCTCAAGGGCCGTCCTTCAGCGGCCTGTTTAACCCTTCTCTTTTTGTTACTATTCTGCGCAAGGCTGAGGCCACAGCCCATCTGGGGCATGGGACACCAGCGGAGCCTGTCACAGTTGACACGGAGGCTGAGCCGACGTTCGCCGAAAAGGTAACCACTCAACACCGCATACCATGCCCGACCATGTTCCTAAACACAATAAGGAAACAGTGGGCAGCGCCAATCTCCCTACCGCTTCCTAGCAATGCGGAGAGGAAGCTATTTAACGTAGCAAAGGAGCTAGAGGGAACATTGGAGGTGCCGTTGGTGGACGAACCCATAGGTCCCCTGATATCGGACACGGCCATATCAGGAGATTTTGCTGAGGCTCTTAAAGCCGAGGACCGAAAGAGTGAGTCCAACTACAGGAGAACGCACCAGGCAATAGCTTGGGCTACCAGGGCGTCTACCTCCGCGTCCTTTTTCACCAGAGCCACACTTTGTTGGCTCCGTGAGCTACAGGGCCGGGTTCCCATGGAAGATATACGCACTCATCAGGAACTCAGCAAAATGGTAGCGGCCACGGAATATGCGTCGGACGCAACACTGTTAGCGACCAAGTTTTCAGCCAAGGCAATGGCGGCAAACAACACGAGCAGGCGCATCCTCTGGCTAAAGAACTGGCAGGCGGATACCAAATCCAAGTGGAAATTGGCTTCGGCTCCGTACCAAGGGGCAAAGCTGTTTGGTGAGGCACTAACGCCATACCTGACAGAGAACAAGGACAAGCGCAAGGTCCTTAAACACATGCTTAAAAGGCAGGACAAGAGACCCGGCTCCTGGGGAAGGAAACAATCCTTTCGTACGGAAGCCAGGGTCAACTACTTTCAAAATTCCCAACCCTTCCAAGCTAGACAGGATAGGGAAAGACAGGGGGACAGACAGAACACAAGACATAGGCAAACACAGGGAAGACGGCCCTTTCGGGGGAACAACCGCCCCTTCCGCCGTACCAGATGACTCCCGCCCAGACCTTCCCATAGGGGGCAGACTAGCAGGGTTTGCTCCCCAGTGGGAAGAGACCACCACGGACGTATGGGTCAGGAACACCATACGTCATGGTCTATATCTAGAATTTCTCTCAAAGCCCCCGAACCGCTTCCGCCCGTGCCCCTGTCCCACAAACCCAACAAAGAGAAGGCTCATGAACGAGGCCGTTCAGCACCTTCTAAACATACGGGCCGTAGAGCCGGTGCCTATGAACCAGAGAGACCAGGGGTTTTATTCAATCCTCTTCGTGGTCCCAAAACCCTCGGGGGGTTGGAGAGCCGTTTTGGATTTGAAAAGGCTAAATTTCTACATAAAATACCGCAAATTCAAAATGCAGACACTACGCTCCATCCTTGGAAGCGTAAGGAAAGGGGATTTTCTGGCATCGATCGACCTCACGGAGGCATACTTGCACATCCCTATCTCTCTGGCTCACCGCCGCTTTCTACGGTTTGCCTACAGGGGGCACCATTTTCAATACAGGGCACTTCCATTCGGCCTGTCATCAGCGCCCAGGGTGTTCACCAAGATTCTGGCGGTTCTGGCAGCACAACTAAGAAACGTACCAGTCAGAGTCCAGTGCTACCTGGACGATATTCTAATCCAGTCATCGTCCGCCCAGCAGTCTCGGGCGGACCTAAAGTTAGTGATAAAAATGCTGCAGGACCACGGCTTCTCGGTGAACTTTCCAAAGAGCCATCTAACCCCAACTACGAGAATACTCCATCTGGGAGCGGTCATAGACACAAAGGAATGCAAGGTGTACCTATCACAGGAACGCCTCAGCAGCATAAAGAAAGCCGTAAAACAGGTAAGCCGCGGTCAGTCAGTGACGCTGGTCTGCCTCTCCCAGCTGCTAGGGAAGATGATATCGACCATAGCAATAGTTCCTTGGGCAAGGCTGCACTCAAGAGAACTGCAATGGTTCATGCTCCCGTTTCAGAGACAACAAATCAGTGCATCCCGGAAGAGGGTAGGCATACCTCTGAGAGTACGACACTCCCTCAGGTGGTGGCTATCTCCAGCTCTCCTCAGGGGGTCCCCCTTCAGGGAACCAGACAGAGTAGTAGTCACAACAGATGCGAGCTTATTCGGCTGGGGAGGCCACTTGGGGACCAAGTGGACACAGGGCCGCTGGTCAGCGGTGGATCTCCGACACAACATAAACTGGCTCGAGCTGCGGGCTATTCACCTAGCGTTAAGGCATTTTCACAGCAGCATAAAAGGCAGGCACGTACTGGTCCTGACGGACAACGTGACAGCCAAGGCCCACATAAACCGTCAGGGGGGCACACACTCTCGCTCGCTCTCGGCCGAGGCCCTCCTACTGGGGGCCTGGGCGGAACAAAATCTGGCCTCCATAAAGGCCGACCACATATCGGGGGAGGCAAACATCCAAGCAGATCTGTTGAGCAGATCAACAATAGATCACTCGGAGTGGCAACTACACCCGAGGATCTTCAGGGAGGTCTGTCACCGCTTCGGGCTTCCCCAGGTGGACCTTTTTGCCTCTCCTTCCAATGCCCACCTAACTCGCTTCTTCTCCCGATTCCCATCCAAGGGAGCAGAGCAGACGGACGCGTTACGGAGCCCATGGCCAAGGGGGCTCCTGTACGCGTTTCCACCCTTACCTCTCCTTCCGGCGGTAGTACGCAAGATTCTGCGGGAAAGGGCCGAGGTAATCCTTGTGGCCCCTTATTGGCCAAGGAGACCTTGGTTCGCAGACTTGAGGAGTCTCTCCCGCACGAATCCATGGCGGATTCCTCCGGAGAGGATCTCCCTCAAGCAGGGGGAGATCTCCCACCCAGAGCCACAATGGCTACAACTAGCCGTCTGGCTCTTGAACGGTCAATTTTAGCCAAGGGGGCTTGCTCACAGGGTGTAATTAGGGTCATACAGGCATCAAGGCGCCCCTCCACGAACCGTATCTACGAGGCCACGTGGAGAAGCTTCCAATCATGGTGCTCTAAACAGGAATTGTTACTCGAAGGGATCACAATTCCCAAGATCCTAGAATTTTTACTAGATGGCCTAGAGAGGGACCTCTCGCCAAACACACTGCGCAGGCAAATCGCCGCCCTCTCAACTATACTTTCTGCCAGCCCCGGTGAATCCTTGGGCAAGCATCCCTTAATACGATCCTTCCTCAAGGGGGCTGCAAACATCAGACCGCCAACCGTGCATAGGTATCCATCGTGGGAACTACCACGAGTACTACAAGCTCTTACCAGAGCGCCCTTCGAACCACTCAAAACATGTGACATTCGCTATCTGACCCATAAGGTAGCATTCTTGGTAGCCATCACGTCAGCTCGGCGGATATCCGAGTTAGCTTCTCTCTCAATGAGGAAGGACCTGTGCCATTTTCACAGGGACAAGGTAGTCCTAAGAATAGACCCTTCATTCATTCCAAAGGTCAACTCCCTTTTTCACAGATCACAGGAAATAGTCCTACCAGACTTCTGTCCAAACCCAGCTCATCCCCTGGAGCAACAATGGCACACCTTGGACGTACGCAGGGCACTAAGACATTACATTTCACGCACAGCGGAATTCCGACGCTCGGAAGCGCTTTTCATATCCTTCCACCCTGCTACTAGGGGCCGGAAGGTCTCGTCCTCTACCATCGGTAGGTGGATTAGGGCATGCATCACGGGGGCATACCAGGCGGAGTCCTTGCAAGTCCCCAAGCATATCACGGCCCATTCCACAAGGAGTGCTGCCACCTCAGCAGCATGGGCCATGCAGGCTTCTATTGAAGAGGTATGCAGGGCAGCCACTTGGGCCTCGCCCTCTCCATTCATTCGTCATTACAAAATCGACAGGTACTCCTCTGCAGAGGCCTCCTTCGGTAGGAGGGTTCTCCAGCAGGTGCTAGACCAAAGTTGCACACGGGACCAGTCTATTCCCCAACCCAAGGGACAATAGGCTTTGGTATGTCCCACTGCGTGGATTATCCATCTCCAGTGCTGGAGAAGGGGCGTTGACTTACCTGAACGCCTTTTCTCAGCACGGAGATGGATAATCCACACCCACCCTTATAGACTAGAATAATAGGGTATATTTAGTGGAGCCAAAACGTCTTACTGTCAGTCAATGGCTGCGCTCGAGTCAAGACTGGAGGATCATGGTCCAAGACGGGGCGTGGCAACTTTGGCTGACTGATCTGATTGGCCAGGAATACAGTCTCAACCCACTGCGTGGATTATCCATCTCCGTGCTGAGAAAAGGCGTTCAGGTAAGTCAACGCCCCATTTCTGCCAATCTTCTGAAGTTCTCTCAAGACAACGTTATGTCAGCAGGCTTGGGGATCCCAGGTGAATGGAGAACTGATGAGATGCCTACACAGTGTTTAACATTGAAGATGTTCCATCCTAGTCTTTTAATAATGTTTAATAATAATGTTTTTTTACTATGAAATAATTTTTACTGATTGTATCTTATTGTACTCTGCCCAGAGTTGTGTTCATGAGACAGGCAACTATATAAATGAGAGGACTGAATAAATAAATCAAATGGAAGCCAAAGATATTTACTGTAACTAACTTAGTATGAACCTAGCTGTCTGTAACTTAATTTGAAAATTTTATTAATTGGGGTTTCACCGTACCTCCAAATGTGGGACTGCAGTACCAACTATTCTTTGTGAACCTGCCCAAATTTCAGGATATCTGAGAATTTAGGAAGAGGTACTCTTAATATAATTGAATCTGCTACTATATTACCCTATATGAAGTCGCTCACTGTCTTTTCTTGGGATTGCTAGATCACTCTAAACTGTAGCATTTTATTTCTTCTCAGTACCTTCCATATTACGTTCTCTATTCTCTCAGGTTTTGCAGACTTTATACTAAACTCTTCTTCATAACACAGTACTATCTCTTCACTTGTTAGTGCTTAGGTCTTTTGTAATAATACTTCATCCAGGCCTTATGTTCTCCCCCCTGGCAGAAAGCACTTAACCTCCTCTTAAAGCACTCGGCAGACATCAATGCTCGTGACAAGTATTGGCAAACACCACTGCATGTTGCTGCCGCCAACAGAGCTACCAAGTGTGTTGAGACCATCATGCCGCTGCTTAGTAATGTTAATGTGGCAGACCGCACTGGCCGAACAGCACTGCACCATGCTGTACACAGTGGGCACCTTGAGGTAAGGGACATCCTTGTTCTTCTAGAGACATTTATGCATGATTTCTCCATGGGGTAGAGATGAGGTCTAAGGGAGCAATAATGGAGATCTGTTTTGTTCTAAAGACTATTTCCCCTTGCAAAAGCCAGCCAGAGTCTTTTGTTAGCTAAATAAACAAATAGTTACACTCAAACTCACATAACAGAATCTCCAGCTGCTATAGTTAATGAGGGGTCCTTGGTGCTCTCTGAGCTTGGTTGTTTTCTTGCAGATGTTTCATTACCCAAACTAGGTGACAACATCAGTGCTAGGAGTAAAGAAATGTCTGCCAAAAAAACCAAAAAAAACCCATCCAAGCTCAGAGAGCATCAAAGACTCTGCATTTCAACACACTGAGCTACAATTACTCTTCTTTATTGGTGCTCTGTTTAAGGCAAAGCTCTTTGGACCAGTCCAGCATAGGTGTAAATTTGAAGGAAAGAAAAGATGAGAAGTTATTGCATGAAAATATTGAATATGAATGAAGCCTTGGCTTTTAGGATGCTGTAACAATTGAATAGAAGTCTTTACTCTTCTAGCAGTAAAATATTTTTTCTCTCCGTGACTTTTAAGATAGTAGGTATGAGACTATTGGAGAATCAGAGCTTTGGGGATTTGAGTTTCTTTTTGTTTAAAGAACACATACCTATCATAGTTTGAAAGAAATCATTAGGTGCATATGAACTTGTTTTTTCAGAATGTACATCAGAATATAACTAATACACAAATAACATACTGAAGCATGATTAATTAATATGAATAATAACATAATCCAACAGCCATAGGCTATTTTGTCTTTCATAGCAAAGTTTAATACATAAATAGGTAACGTCTGATTTGCAGGTAAGTTTTTGTTATATAATAAGAATGGACTTTCAGATTATCCATATCTGGATCTCATTGTTCCATTTCCTTTTGAAGCACGGGTCCTGCATTTACACATATAAAGTGATCTATAGCATCCTCAGGGGGAGGAAGTACCATGTCAGCTGCCTTGTGTTTTTATTTTAGAATATTTAATTTTTACAAAAAATGTCTATTTTTTTTCTAGATGGTAAACTTGCTCTTAAATAGAGGGGCCAATCTGAGCACATGTGACAAGAAGGAGAGACAACCAATACATTGGGCAGCCTTTCTGGGTAAGTCCCCCTCCCACCTTTTTGCACATCCCCTCTATTGTGATTGATGTATTTGCTATGCGGGTCTATATAAAAAGATACACCCAGGATATTTGCCCAGTAAGAACAAAGGATACCCAATAGTAAATAAAAGAGTGAGCCAGAGGTAGTAAGTTGCTACTGACATAGAGCTATTTCCCCTCTCCCATTTTGTTTATTAACATTTTTATATATTGTTTTACTTCTAACAGTTAATTAACAACATTAATGAAATCCAGAAACCACTCAAGAATCTGTAAATAATGATAATGTCAAAATCTCTATGAAATGTTTCCATCCTGACAGCCTTCTTAAATGGGAGGATGCTGTCTGAATGTCAGGAGTGATGCTGTTTCAAAGGAACTTGGCACTGGTAGAAAAATGCCACCTCCTAACTCACCTATCCTCCTCATATGGAGGACCACAACTAGCACACCAGCTGAAGCTGGGAAAGACTTTTGAGTCCATAAGAATCCCCAAGTTGTTGCTCTGTTCCTTTGGGGGCAGCGCAACTCCATCTAGAGTCAGAAATGGACCTGGCAGAGAACAAGTTGGTTTTGGACCAACAAGATCTCCTTAGGTCAGGACTTACACTACCAGAGAGGACACATATATCTAATGCAGTGGCTCCCAACCTTTTCTATACCACGCACCCATAGAACGCTTCTGATATATTCTTTCATCCCTTACAAAAGTTCGAAATAACGGCATATACACTATAATTTTGAAAACCCAAGTTTTTCGCAGCCCCTGGAATATCGTCCAGTGCAGGGATCCCCAACTCCTGTGTTGTGGCCTGGTCCCGGGCTGTGGACCATTGGGAATTGGGCCACACAAGCAGCAGGCACACTCACAAAACTTCATTTGCGCAAGCGATAGGCGTGTGTGCTCATACATAAAGCTCCATTTGCGCTACTGGCAGGTACACACTCTTGCGCATCAAGCTCCAGTTGCACAAATGGAGCTTCGCATGTCAGTATGCTTGCCCACTGCTCGCACAGAACTATCCCCTCTCCCCACCACTGCCATTGCCGCCGCCACCGCCACCACCCTACCAGTCTACAGAGCCAGAAAGATTGGGGACTGTTGTACTAATGTAAGAGAACCAAAGATTCTGGAACCCCCACAAGCCACAAGCCTTCTCCCACATATGTGCTAGTACTATGCAAAACCCTTCCCAGGAAAGGTTAATGGGAGATACATTGCTAGGAGCAGAGGTCCAAGGCAAAACCATATAGGCAGGAGCCCAGTGAGTGTGCCTGTTATCAGAACAATACTCCTAATTAAGTAACTGACTGCCACTTTGTATCTGGCACCAGATACAGAATTACCTCAGAGGAATTTGTTTTGTCTTTAGCAAAGTGTAGAATGTCACACTAAGGTAAGGGACAGCTGTTACTGCTGTTACTAGATCTGCTGCTTACCATATCCATCTTTTAATTCCTATCACCTGTTGATTTCATTACTCTTGTCACATTCATCAGCAATCAGCAATGAATTACATAATCCTCTCCAGTTAGATGGAATTTAATTATACACAGAGGCATTAAGATAACATTAGCAGCTGTTAAACTGCTATTTGGATCCATTAACTCCCCAGTAATCTTTTTTATACTTCAGCTGGAAAGCAAAAAATTGGGACAGGAAAAGTTGCCATTTTTTTTTAATGTCATGGAACAAAGCTGTCTTTCATATTTTAATTGCTTATTGTCACAGAAGCAAATTCCACATCTCATGGAGTTTCATACAAATTGAAAGTGGGGCACCAAATTAAAGGACCTTTACCTCATGAGCATATCTTCCTCTTAGGACCATTGCTTCATGTGCACATGTTTATGGGAAATAGTGTGTAATACCTGTTTATCTCCTATTATAGTGAACTTATCTCACTCTGCAGTAGTAGGTGGCATTAAACCTCTGTTTAGCAAGGTATTTATTAGATTTGTATGCCCCCCATCTCATCCAGAGGTGACTGCTATAGCAAATGCTATATGCAGAGGTCCCCAACCTTTTGGGCACCAGGGACCGGTTTTGTGGAGAGAGGTTTTTCTGCGGCCCGGAAAGGGCATGGTTTTGTGTGCTGCCTGCATCCCACGGGTAGGGCTTTCTTGTTTGTGCGGACCAGTTGCTGGCATGCCCCTGCCCGGTACTGTGCCGGAGGTTGAGGACCCCTGCTATAAGCTATAGAAATTCTACTGATATATTATTACAAACCGCCATCTCTCTTTCCACAGACAGTTTCCGTCAAGTATTGCAGAAATTTGTGTTACTTGATGTTGTCACCCTTTATGTCCCATGACATTCTTCTAGAATTTTGCTTCATTTACTTCTACATCGTTTTCTTACTACTTTATTATAGCTAGGACTATAGAGACATCCCTAGTAGAAAATATGCCATCGTTCTCCCTACCTGTTACATATATGATACCTTTCAAAAACTTAACTCGAAACATTCATATTGTCTAGTTATCTTGTACACAGCTTTGGTTACTAAAAATGCATTAACGGTGCAGCTTGAGGGCCAGTAGAAAGATGCATTTTTAAAACTCAGCTGATTTAAACTCAACTGGGTACACAATGAAGTGGATTCTTAAACAATATTTTTTGAACAAGGATATTCTTTTCAGTTGTGCATTTATTGCATATATGAGGATGTCAATGGCTTCTGGGTTTTGAGCAGAAAACATTAGGTTTTCAGGTCAAAATCTAAGAGAGTAAACCAGAATACTTCTTACATGTTACACTTACAAACTTTTGATCACGACACACCTTTTTGAACTCTCAACTGGTATTTGGTTGGATGGAATTGATTGTCAGAAAGCAAGAAAATAGTAGTGAAGACTTTAACAGATGTGTGTACTTTGTGCAATAGACATAATCTAATTTGCATGATGAATGCAGCCAACTGAAGCTAAATTAATCCACTTGGCCTTTGGAAAACTACATTTTCCAGTTACTCAGTCTGAGTGGGAGTAGCTCTACTGACTTTTGGAAAGTAACAATGAACTTAACAAGCATTTCCTCATACATGCTGTACGTACTGTGCATTCAGAAAGTATTCAGACCCTCCACTTTTGTCAATTTTGTTATGCTGCAGCCTAATTCTACAGTTGTTGAAATTCATTTTCTATACTCAGTGAAAGTAAAAACAGAATTTTAGAAATGTCTGTAAATTTATTAAAAAAGAAAAAACTGAAATATCACATTGGCATAGGTATTAAGACCATTCACTCAGTACTTTGTTGAAGCACGTTTGGCAGCAATTACAACCTTAAATGCAGGATGCTAAACTTGGACCATAGTGTAATGTTTTTTCTAGAAAAGCTAATGCTGCTTAAACTTTTGTCTTGGTCAAAAGAGGGGCATTGAGCTGCTGGAAAACATGTTGCTACTCTTTGGGAGGGTGGAATCTGTCTCCCTCCTCCAATTAAATAATTTAAATTCCTATTGTTGCCATTAAAACTAATTAGGTTTTAACCCCAAGTATTATTGGCTCTCATTTAACGTTGCAGCATGATTAACAGGTTAGCAGGAATTCATGTTAAAGCAGAAACTTACTGAGGAGGGAAAGAGAAGTTACAAGCCTGCACACTACTCATATTCTGCTCTTCTATCCTACTTAAATAAATTTTATAATAATGCACTTGGCATTCAAAATTTGCTTCTGTTGCATTCTGTATCATGCTCCACATAGCAAGATGAATGGGAAAAAAATCCCTTTTACCTACAATCTATCATGACAAAATAAACTCCCTAATCTTGCAAAATCGTTATATGTTCATTTATTCATAAGGTTTCAATAATCCTTTCAGACTCTTATCTAGAATACTGTAAACCCATTTGCTATAGCATGAAAACATTTGAATGGTTTCAGTCTTTTGCATTGTTTTTTTCCCTAGGGCATTTGGAAGTCTTGAAGCTACTGGTAGCCCGTGGAGCTGACATCACGTGCAAAGACAAAAAGGGTTACACACTGTTGCATACAGCAGCCGCCAGTGGCCAGATTGAAGTTGTGAAGCACCTGCTGAGGCTTGGAGTTGAGGCAAGTGTGATGATAGTACCGGTTTTAGTGGATGCTGGGTTGCTCTGTACTGTGCCTATCCTCTTTTCAGGCTTGCTCCCTTCAGATGTGCTCGTATATAATTTCTGGCAAATTAGGTTTGCTGTAATGGTACATATGTGTGTTTATATCAGTGATTCTCAACCTTTTTAATGCCGTGACCCCCCCCAACAGGTCGTAAGTCGAGGACTACTCAACCGGTCATAAATCGAGGACTACTCAACTGGTGCAGCACCATTTGCAGAATGGGACTTTTGGCGGGCTCAGCAGGGCAGAGACAGCCTGGACAATTCCTATTGGCTTTTGAAAGACAATGGAATTAGACTCTATTCAAGAGAGTCTATTCTATTGGCTTTCAAAAGCCAATAGAATAAAAGGGAGTAGCACAGCTAAGGAAAAGGGGGAAAAAAATGGCGGACTGCGTTGTTTGGCAACCCCCGTGAAATGGTCGTTCGACCCCAAATGGGGTCCCGACCCACAGGTTGAGAACCACTGGTTTATATTAAGTCCGTAAGTCAATTTTGTACGCTGCTTGTTTTAAACAACACTTAGTCCTTGGGTTACTACAGCATGCTCAGTGGTCATTCAAACTTGCCATCTTGCTGAATTTATGATGTATCTTGTCACACTGTCCCTGTAGTCCTATGAGCACAATTTCTGGCCTTCCGTGAACAAAGTTAATAAGGAAGGTGGCAGGAATATGGAAGTTGTAGTCACAGGAGCTTCTTGCTTGACTGTTGCAACCCAGACTCTGTCACTAGGTGACCTGGTCATGTGATTTTGTGTTTTATAGCTACATCTCCTAGCAAAAGCAATTCCAAACCCAAATGCCATTGTTACCCGAGGACTACCTGTAGTGTTTAAAAATTGAGAGCCGCTGCCAAGAGTAAATATTTTAGTCTTAAGATGCAATATACAGATTTTATAAATACTACAGCATTCCAGATACAGTAATGCAAATCAAAGGAATTTTATAGTATTATCTTATGACATAACATTAAAGCAAGACCTCATGGATTCGTGGAACTTCCTAAGAACCTGGATTTTACTTGATTCTAAACAAAGGACATCAAACATTAGCTGAAACTAGAAGATTAAGACAGGTGTTTTTTTTAATGGCATTGTTGAGAATGTAGGTTGCAGGATTAGCCATTAGTCATTAATGACTCTTGATTATATACGGAGTCTTTACCCAGTTCCTCCCTTTGATGGAGATAAAAAATACTTGACTCTTTTAAAATCAAGGGGGAAACTGGGCAACAAATGGTGTTTTTTTTTCCCTAACAGCCTCTGAATTATTATTTTTAAATCCTCAAGAAACTGGAGAATTCCAGGAAGTTAAGGGGCCTATTATTTGCATAGAAATAGATAATATATCTAGCCAGGAAACTGCGCTAAGACTTGATCTCTGTGTGATAACCATTTCTCTTTATTACTTTACATAAGTTAGAGAACTAAGGGTAATAGCATCTATTCGTTCTTCAGACAATGTTCAAGAAGACTTTTTTCCCCTTTAGGATCCCCTTGTAATCAGAATAAAAAGAGGAATGCTATGAAACATCTCTTGCCTTTGCTTGGATAAAGAGCTCTCAGTTTGTAGCTGAACAGAGCCATCTTGTGCTCTGTCTGGACCATTGTATTTTCTTGTAAATCGTGATCCGGACAGTTCTGTAATTTATTTTCTTTGTCATAACTTTAACATTTTATTTTAAAAAAAAATAGTTGGTTGGCTGATTGCCAAGATAAGATAGCCTTATCTTATCAACTTATTTTCCAAAAGGAGGGAAAGAAAGGTTGAACTTGCTAATCTCCTTGTCTATGTGCTACCTGGTCATGTAAATTATTTCACTTTGCATTGTGACCTTTTAATTGTCATAAAGGTAGGATAGGGTGTGAGAGACTGACCCGTTTTACCACCCAAGCGGCAGCAAGATTGCAGCAGGACTGCCAAGCTGCTATTTCAAAGCAAGAAGCAAGACTGGGATTTTAACTATGGGCTTCTGAGAGAAAATTTTAGGGCTTTCCACCTTCCACCCTGTGGAACTCAGTCATCTTTTTGTGTTAACAGGGAGAGTTTGTGTTAACAGGGAGAGCTTTCCTGTAAGCTTTTGAGAAGTAGAGAGACAACTTTGCCTATCCCAACAATAGAAGATGTCTCAAAGAAAAATATATTGAACTCCAAGACTGTTGTGCCTAAAGCCGGGGCAGCAAATCCAGTCGCACTGCTGGGGCTTTACAAACCAGTTGCTGTACCACTTGAAGTAAAGAAATTGGAACTTTAGCTCTGGTTAAAGAGAATGAATTCCAAAGAGAACAGACAATAAGGTAGAACTGAAGGAGGAGGAATTGTTTTTTTTTTTTTTTAATGAAACTGGAGGAATAATTGGAAAGATTGGAGCTGGCAAGAGAAGAAAATGGGTGAGGTCATCAGTTAAAAATGGAGTAGTTGAAGAGCAGAATGCCTTGTGATGCAGCCGATCCATCACTCCAAGCCAACTTTTGTGAAAGTGTAAAAACTTCCAGGACAGAATTTTTGACCATCCTGGATAGTTTTGAAAAGATTGGTCAGCTACAGGTTGGGAGGAGATAAGTGTATGTAGTTTTTGAAACCATGTTTAATGGGTTATGTACTGTCGTAAGGCGACATGGACAACTGTATTCAACACCATCATGTAGCCACAGCTAAGAACACCACCATAAAGTGCCCGAAGGAGTTTTAGTTCTTTATGGCAGAATATACCTGTTTTTTTTATCGGGGCTTCACTTGCAGAATGGAAAGGACATGCACTATCTGGCATGAACATATTGAAGTCACTAACTTAACGAAGCTTGCATAATTTGTAACTCAACTACCTGAACTGTAATCAAATCTTCCTAGCTTGTTAGCTCCTGGACCTCAGTGAGCAGTGGAAATGCACTAATATAATTCCACCATTCGTATAATTCCACCATATTATTCTTGAAGTGGAAGGAAATCCAGCATTTATCATTTATATTTATTTAATTATATTTTGCATTTCTGGACCACCCGTCTTTTTCAGAGAGTGAATCATATTTAGGACGGACTATATTACATTCAACACGAGTGGCTCCACATCAAGTATCAGTTACATTCCTGCAGAGTCTTTAGCAGAGGAACGGCACATAAATAAAAGTAAATAAGTAATTAATAACTACCACATCAGGTACCATCCACTCTGCTCTCGGGGGTAGCTTTCTGACTAGCTATAAGAAGCAGACCATCTCAAGAAAGGCTTCCCCAAAGTGAAAGCCCAGATTGAATCGAAAATCCATGGATCAGAGAAACTTCCAAATGAAGATTTTACTACATTCAGTGAAAATGCTGTATCATCCCTGAAGTGAATGAATATGATAGCAGATGGGTCCTGGAACCGAGATGTCAGCTGTGCATTGCTTTCCTTGTCAGTGACCTCATTTGATCCAGGCATCCCCAAATGCTAAAGCTGTTTGCTATAAACCAAGCAGAGACTGCTTTAGTTAAATTAACTTTGTAGTGAGGAACGATTGTCCCTACGCCATGTGACCTGAAGAACATATTTGGAAGATCCTTCTACCTGGTAAAAAAGGCAGAGACCCCACCCCTAATTTCTTCCCTAATATGTATTATTAAAGTTATTTTTGGCTAGAAACTATGGGGCCTGATAAATCTATATTTCCAGAAAGCTATTGCAAGAAGGCTGTTATGGATGGTTTCAAGTGTTCAGTTCTGTATAGTCTTTCTTTTGAGTAAATGCCTGAAATGAATTGGGCTTTCTTTTGAGTATGAAGTGTAATCAGTACTATAAATGAACTATGGTAGGGAACACAGGCCTCTTTGAAATGGCTGAAATCCAGTTCTCCAAACCCCCAGGCAGTATTGCCAGTGGATAGGATAATAGAATTATAAACCTCAGTCTCTGGAAGTCCATAAATAAGTCCTTAATTTGGGCTAGGGATGCATGGAGTTATTCTACTGGAAACTTTTCAAACCTTTTGGATTTTCTCCTCAGCAATGCTGTAGGAAGGACATATGTATTCCACCTTGATCCTTGACTAAGACATCTGCTTGATTTTGATTATTATTTTTTGGGCTTTGTTTAGCTGCTGCGGTGTCTGTTTTAATGATTTCTTTTGTTGTAGAATGCAATACGTTTATTTCTGGTTCTGTGGACCACCTTTTAAGACATTGCAACCTAAAAGGCAGGGTATAAGCATCTTAAATAAGTACAGATAGTACTTGACTTAAGACCACAATTAAGCCCAAACCTTTTGTTGCTAAGCGAGACAGTTATTAAGTGAGTTTTGCCCCATTTTATGATCTTTCTTGCCACAGTTGTTAAGTGAATCACTGCAGTTATTAGGTTAGTAACACAGTTATTAATTGAATCTGGCTTCCCCATTGACTTTGTTTGTCAAAGGGTTGCGAAAGGGGATCACATGACCCCAGGACAATGCAACCGTCATAAATATGGGTCAGCTGCCAAGCGGCTGAATTTTGATCACGTGACCGGGGGGGGGGTGCTTCAAAGGTCATAAGTGTGGAAATGATCATAAATCACTTTTTTTTCAGTGCGGTTGTAACTTTGAATGGTCACTAAATGAACTGTTGTAAGTCGAGGACTACCTGTAATGGTAAAGTAAAGAAGTACAGCATTTCTTGGAGAGAAGCCGAGCTTGAGTATAACCGGTTGGGCTGTCAGACAGCAACAGCATATAAGCTTTTCCCTTTCTGGCCAACCCCTGTGTGCACAACACGAAATGTCAGCATATTCCAATGTCACCTTCCCATGTTTTTTCTTACAGATCGATGAACCAAATTCCTTTGGCAACACTGCACTTCACATTGCCTGTTACATGGGCCAGGATGCCGTGGCGAATGAACTGGTCAACTATGGCGCCAATGTCAATCAGCCCAATGAAAAGGGCTTTACCCCCCTGCACTTTGCTGCCGTCTCCACCAACGGAGCCCTGTGCCTGGAACTTCTTGTCAATAATGGAGCCGATGTGAACTTTCAGGTACAGCCACCTGGGCTGCGTGCAATAGAGCCATGGGGGAAAAGGAAAGGAAAATGACTTAAGCTTTCTGAGGACGGTGGGATAGGATTAAAAGCAAATAGGCTGACTAGCTTTGATCTTTGCAGAGTAAAGAAGGGAAGAGTCCTTTGCACATGGCTGCCATTCATGGACGGTTTACACGCTCTCAGATTCTCATACAAAATGGTACGTTGTCAGCTATTTCCAGTTAAGGAAACCACTCTTAATAGTTTGCAGCATTGTTTTCTCAGCCTGAGATCTTACAAGACTGCCAGATCATGTATTTCAGTTATTTATTTGTTGACACTCAGAGCCTAAAAAAGTTGCCAGTCCCTGCAGGTATTCGAATTTATTTATATCTCTTTCTTTCAGTATTTTTTTTTGTCATTTTGAATCATAGCAGCTCTGATTTCCACCAAATTAATTTCCCTTTATTGTTCTGAAAGTTAGTCATAAGGGGACATGTATCTAAAGTTATTAAACATTCATTCTCTTCCCTGAACAGTGGGTTAGATTAGGTGACTTCTATAATCACTTCCAATTCTTACGATTCAGTGAGTAGTTTTGTATCAGACCTGGGCACTTTTATGGCCTCTGGACCACATCCAGCCCATGGGTGGTCCCAGTCCAGGCAGTAGGGGTGGGGGTGGGGAGTGAGGGGTTGGCAGCATCAGGGGCAGGGCAACGGGGCAGGGGCAGCGACGGGATGGCAGCCCTCCACAACAGTTCCAGTGTCTCATGTAGTCCCTTGGAAAAATTAATTGCCGATCCTTGTTCTATATGGTACCTTCTGATCTCCTGGTGGCTAAAGTGGAGTTGCCTTTTGCCTCTAATTTGGAGAAAAAAGATTGATGCAATCTGTTTGTTTCTCAGGAAGTGAGATTGACTGTGCGGACAAATATGGCAATACCCCCCTCCACGTTGCTGCTAGATATGGCCACGAGCTGCTAATTAGTACTTTGATGACGAATGGTGCTGACACTGCAAGGTGAGGGCATATTACTTGTCCAAATTAGTGTTACGGTCTAGAGCTAGAATTCTGACTTTTTTCTCTCCTAACCAATTAGAATTGTCAGGACAGAATAAACAATACTTACAATTGGCTTAAAGTCATGCTCAGCCAAATGTGTACTCTGCTAGTTAGCCACAACCAAACTGAAATGTGTCATTATTGGACTTTATAGTAGAGCAGTGGCCGACTGACAGTGGAATAGACCATCACATAGTTGAGGATGATGGTAGTTTGGAATTGATGTATGCAAAGTAGAAATAGCAATAACACTTAGATTTATACAGTGCTTTATAGTGCTTTACAGCCCTCTTTAAGTGGTTTACAGAGTAAACCTATGGCCCCCAACAATCTGGGTCCTCATTTTACCGACCTTGGAAGGATGGGAGGCTGAGTCAACCTTGAGCCGGTCAGGATTGAATCCCTGGCAGTCAGCAGAATTAGCCTGCAATACTGCACTCTTAACTACTGTGCCACCACGGCTCTAAATCAGTGTGCTTATGTGTGTGTGTGGGGGGGTGCCTATGTGGGGGTGGAGATCACTTTGTTCCTACTCTGTTTGTAGCCTTGGCCTTGTGTACTATCATGTTTTGATCTTTTATTCTTTCAGGCGTGGGATCCATGACATGTTCCCTCTGCACTTAGCTGTTCTCTTCGGATTCTCAGACTGTTGTCGTAAGCTACTTTCCTCAGGTAAGTTTTGTGTTGGACTCGGGGGGTTGGTTCCTAAGGAGACAGCCTTTTTTCTACATCTGGCTGAATTCAGAGCAAGCCAACTGTGAATGCTTTAAAAAAATGGAATTGGCTTGAATTGATTACCTAGCAGTTGGCAAATGTTCAGCATTTTTAGCCAGAATCTAAATTCAAGGTGTAAGCCTATGGCTTCAAGGCTGCAGAGGGACTCTAACTTTTGCATATGACCAGCAAAATCCCCAGTCAAAATTGCATCCAAATTATAGTGTTTAGTATGATGGAAGGGGTAAGTATATAGTTAACTGCGTTTATTAAAATTAATAATTAAAAATAAGTATATTTAGGCGTTAAAATAGCATTTACTTTTTATCCTAGCCCAGTGATGGCGAACCTTTTAGAGACTGAGTGCCCAAACTGCAACCCAAAACCCACTTATGCATCGTCGGGTGCCGGGTGGGCATGGCCCATTGGGTGGGAGTGGCTGCAGTGGTAACAGCAGACTGGGTGGGACTAAAAAGTTCAATCAATCAATTCCAACTTTGCAAGATCTTTTTTTCCCCCGCGAGAAGTTGAAATTTACTGATTGATTGAACCTTTTTTTTTTTTTTTTTTTTTGTACACAGCAGCGGAGGCCTAAAGTGAAAAGGTTTTATAAAACCCAGCTGAAGGCCTAGGACTGAGGCAACGGTGCGCGTGCCCACAGAGAGGGCTCTGAGTGCCGCCTCTGGCACCCGTGCCATAGGTTCGCCACCACTGTCCTAGCCTGATACTTTTTACAATCCAGCATCTGATTTATCATTTAAAGACCCAGTGTAATCCCCGGTGTAAAAAAAAAAAAAGTAGCCTAAAGAAAAGTTGTGTTGATTTAATTAGCACTAAAAGAAATAGGTTAAAGTGATTTGGTTATGTGGAGAAAATAAATGGGGATTGAATCAAAAACCAAATAGACTGAGCGGAAGAGGAAGATGGAAAAAGTTCTGGTTGGATGGAATTGATGAGATCATAACAAGAAAGGTAGAAAGTTTAAGGAAGACAAGACAGTATATGAAATAGCCCACAGGGGGAAAGTGAGAATGGTTTACAAGAACAGAAAGCTATGGAGAGAGATTGGAAACAGTATTGGTAGAAATTAAATCATTTATATTTCCTTTTCTTATCTCCTATATTTTATTTTTTTAGCTTACTATACTTTTCTACGTTTTCCATTACATTTTTTTTTTTATCCCCAAAGGGACTAGCACAGTGTTTCTCAACCTTGATAATTTTAAGGCATGTGGACTTCAACTCCCAGAATTCCACAGCCAGCAACGCTGGCTGTGGAATTCTGGGAGTTGAAGTCCACATGCCTTAAAATTGTCAAGGTTGAGAAACACTGGACTAGCATAATATGTATGCATGAAGCGTGGCTTTCCTCTATATAGAAAAGGTTGGTTGACAATTTTAGTAAGCTTAATTCCAGAATCATAATTTCCATGGTATCTGCGGCAGAGTCACAGTAAATTAATCCCATTTACCAGTCACCACGCACTTTCTTCTGATTCTCAGGTCAGTTGTACAGCATTGTCTCCTCACTCAGCAATGAGCATGTGCTGTCTGCAGGCTTTGATATCAATACGCCAGATAACCTTGGGAGGACCTGCCTCCATGCTGCTGCTTCCGGAGGGTGAGCAATTAATTGATTGTTATGAGGCAAGGCGTTCCTTAGGATAACTCTGAAAGAAAGATTCCCACTCTTATTATCTTTAAATTAAGAGACAGGACAGTTAAATTACAGGTAGTCCTTGACTTATGACTGATTGCTTAGCCAGCGTTCAGAGTTACGATGAACCACCCCTGGGGATATTTATGACCAAGTTTCAAAGTCCTGATAGCTTCGCCCCCCCCCCAACACACGACCTCATTTCAGCCACTTGACCAATGGCCCACATTGATGGCTGTTTGCAGCATCTCACAGAAACATCACCAATTTTATAACATTTTCTGCAAAACCAATCCCTAGCGAACATTTGGTTCGCTTTAATGATTGCTGCAAAAAAGGTTGCAAAATTGGGTCAGTGACATGGACGATCCATTTTACGACCATCAAGTAGTATCTCTAGAAGAGCATCTGTATGGGGTTGACCATTTCTGTCCAGTTGGAGAAAAATAGGTTTGGAGAATAACGAATTCTTGGAATACTGCTGTAGTCAGGTGGAGATAATTCTCTGTGAGCAAAGCAAATATTAGACTAATCTTTATTTGCATACAGTAATATTAATATTGCATTGCATTTCGGAGAGGTAAATTAATTTCCCCATGCCATATCATCTTCCACTGTTACTATATCCTGCAGTAAAAGACTAAGAAATGCAGCTGGCATCTTTCTCTATCTCCACCTTTCCCTTCTAGACTGGGCACGACTGATACATGGAGGGTATTTGTTGGGTTATCATTCTACGTTTGGAACTGAGACAAATTCTCAGCCTACCATTTCATCTGGGGAAAAACCCCCACAATGTTATTCAGAGATATCTTCTTTACCCTTTGGCTTCTCTATAGGAATGTTGAATGTCTTAACTTGCTGTTGAGCAGCGGAGCTGACTTGAGGAGGAGAGATAAGTTTGGAAGGTAAATATAGAACATGGTCTCTTTGAGACCCTGGGTGAGAAAGAAACGTCCAAGATTAAAAGGCCATGTGCTAGGCCTCCTTGGGAATGAATTTAGAGCAGTGGTTCTCAACCTGTGGGTCGGGACCCCATTTGGGGTCAAACGACCATTTCACGGGGGTCGCCAAACAACGCAGTCCGCCATTTTTTTCCCTTTTCCCTAGCTGTCCTACTCCCTCTTATTGGTGGCCACACCCACTTGGGGGTCACCACAACATGGGGAACTGTTTTATGGGGTCATGGCATTAGAAAGGTTGAGAACCACTGATTTAGAGGTATAAGTCAAGACATGTCAAACTCGCGACATCATGTGACGCCGCGCAACGTATCGGGACAGTTTTGCCATTCCCGGCAATGGGGCGGGCGGAGCTTTCGGATGGCGCGTCTAGCCCATGGGCCGCCAATTTGTCACCCCTGGTATAAGTGGTTCTGTTAAAGTGGTACTGAGATTGAGGTGCTCACATGTATTTTTCTACCTGGTTGACCCTCAATGCTATGCTTTTGGGAGTTGGATAATTGAATTTGGGGTAATACTGTATTGTATGTTGCTTTTTGGTTTGCTGGTGTAACACAGTGGTAGCAGCCATGGCAATTTTGGGATGCCATGTCTGCTTTAAAGGTGGCAGGACTGGAATTTAAGTCCCTCTTGACTCATAGACTGAATTCTGGATCTGTTAAAATGGCATTTTTAGAACAATCTGTAAAGATTGCTTTGAGCATAAAATTATACAATTGTGCAAGGCTTTTTTTTTGGTATCAGCAGTTTTAAAAGCAATGAAGAGGATTCAGACTTCTCCTTCCTTCACTTTGTTACTTGGCTAGACTTGGTTGAATAGCTGCTTCAATCTGGCCCTGTTGTCTTCTAATCTGGATCATGAACTGCCACTGCATTGGTGAACTGGTGTAACCTTCTTATATGTCACATAGGAACAGTATCTGAAACTCCCTTTCCTGCTTTTTTTTTATTTATCCAGGACTCCTTTGCACTATGCAGCCGCGAATGGCAGCTATCAGTGTACGGTGACACTAGTCACTGCCGGAGCCAGTATTAATGAAGCTGACTGTAAAGGCTGCACCCCCTTACATTATGCTGCTGCTTCAGACACTTACAGGAGGTAGGGAGAAAAAAAAGAAAAGGATATGCCTTACCTGGGTGCAATTAGTTTCAATTTTCTTATCAGAGAATCCTTCTGTGGAATTATCTTACTCTGTTTCCTGGCACCTGGAAATAGGTAGGATTGGGGAAACAATTCAACACAAAAGCCCTTACTAAGAAATACTGTGAATCAAGGTATCAGTGTATATGTTCTTACTGAGCTACTTAGAGTAAAGGGGGTCTTCAGTTTTCTATCTGTCTGAAATATAATGCCTGTAGTCTCACTTATTAATATGTTTAGAAGTCTAAACTCTGAAATCTAAATCAAGCTCTAAATTGCTGCTGCTTAAAAATAAAATAAGTTTGAGGCTGTTATGACTAGACTTCCTGCTATTAAGATACACTTTAAACTATTCAAAGAAAGGTCAGCCTTGATTCTCACTGTGTTTCTTGGAGTGTATACACCATCTTAATGTCTACAAGCCTTTTCCTTGTATAGTAAGGAAGGCAAAAGCCGATGATAAACTTCTGTCTCATTGCCTGGGGGTTAGTTTAATCTCATTTGGGTAACTCTTAATTTTTGGCGCGATTCATCTACGTGAAGGGTGCAGTTTAGTAATCCATTAAGCTATTGTGGTCATCAGTCCTGATCTGTTATGTATTTAACAAATTCTCATATCTGATTATTATAGAATAATTTTTGCAATAGATTCTAAAACGCAGAGTTTTACTGGATAATGTAGACCTGGGCATTTTACGGCCCACAGACCACATCCAGCCTCCAAGCAGCCCCAATCCATCCCGCAGTGGCGGCAGCAGGGCATCAGTGCGGTTGAGCAGTGGCAGGGTGGAGGCCCCCCATAACAGTCTCAGTTTCTCATGTGGTCCCTTGAGAAAATCAATTGCCTACGCATGAAATAACACATACACACATTCTGTGTATGTTGGCAAAACTAATCTAGGTTTCTGTTTTTACAGAGCTGAGACTCATTCAGGAAACAGCCATGACACTGATGAAGAGCCACTGAAAGAGTCACGACTGAAGGAGGCCATCTTGTGAGTAGCTCATCCGAACTCTCTTTGTTATCCATTGAATAAACTTGGTTATTTCTTTTCTCCACGTTACTTTTAATGCAACGCGTTGATGTTTTATGTTAGAGAACATTCATCTTCTCGAGATTCCATCAAAGTAACCCACATTGTTCAGCATTCAGCTTGTGTTAAATAGGGATAGAAAATGAGCTCTCCAGATGTTCTTTCCTTCCTCAACTTACAAAGCAATCCTAAACAGATTCTTTTTTTTATAAATGCTCAAGATGTGTGCAGACACACGCCACACATTTTTCTTGAATGGATTTTTATTAAGTGTCCATGTACTAATTTGCTACAAAACAGGAAATCATCTGTGTTTTATATGCGATATAAGAGAAAACACAGTCTCCTCCTCCTCCTCCTTCTTCATGTTTCCTTATTACATGGAAGGAGCTACTATGTTCTTCTTTATTGTGGTTTTGGGAACGGGGTTTGTGATATAGTGACCATAATAAATCTGGATTTCCACAGAAATTTTTAGAGCTTTTATATGCATCTGATGCTTGGGTTCATTGAATTATATTTATTCCAGTTGTTTAGAGTTCTTACTGGATAATGGTGCTGACCCCTCTCTCCGAGACAAACAGGGATACACTGCTGTCCATTATGCAGCTGCCTATGGCAACCGACAGAACCTTGAGTTGGTAAGTCTGAACTAAAACTTGGACAGTTGGACTTTGAAAGTAAGAAAACTTCTGTGGACACTTGAAAAGGTCATACTTTTCTCTGTTGATGATTATTATATAGTTGATTTCTTGTAGAGTATTGGGAAGTGTTCAGATTAGAGACAAGTGTAGTCATATTGAGATACAGAAATTGGGTGGCTAAATAAACTCTCATGAGCTAGACAGTAATCTCCAAGAATGCAGATAGACTCCTTTTTTCCTAGTCAGTTTCCAGATAAAGCATTATATCTATGCTTTACATAGAAAGATGTGTACATTGCTATATACTTTATTGCTCTTATTGGTCTTCATGTTTAGATGTGCTTCTGCATACATTTCCTTTCCTTCATCATTATATTGTTAATTTTACTGTTTGTACACACACATACACATGCACACAAACACACACACAAACACACACTCACTCTTTGTATTTGCTCTCAGCACTGCAAAATTAGTAACATTATTAGTACTTGTTATAAGATGCTTGTAAAGCCACTAAAACATTCTTCATACCTGTGCATCCTAAGAAACATAAAAAATATATTCTTTTCTTATCTGAAATAGCTTGTGTTTTCTTTTGACTTTTATTTTTTTAATTGTACGTTATTAAATTGTATAAAATTTTGGAAAAAAGATAGGGAAGGGCAAAGTACAAGGAATAAATGAAAAAGGGGGGGGGGGAGAAAAAATGAAAACAAAATTCCAACTTTTTTCGATACAGTTACAAATATAAAATACATTAACCTTTTGATCTGAAATTCAGTAATACACAACATTTCTGAAATCATAATTGTAATCAAGAACTAATATAGCATTTCTTTTGGTGTCAGGCAAAAAGTCTAAAAGTGTAGTTTCCATGTAGAAACAAAACTAGACATTGTCTTTTGGTAGTTGGTTTTGTCATCTCACCAATTCCATTTCACCATCCATTCCTCCATTGTGGGAATTTCTAGATCTTTCCATCTCTGCATGCAAATGTCTCTCTGCTATTATCATATATAAAAACATAGTCCCGTTTCCCCCTCCCCCAACTGTTTATCCAACATGCCTAGAAGAAAGAAATCTGGTTTCAATTTTACACTTATTTTAAAAAATATTCTGAATTAAAATACATATCTGATCTCAATAACTCTTATTTTTTAATTTGTCCATCAAAAGTGATAAAAGTTTCCTTTGGATTGATTAAATTTCCAACATACTGCATATTTGATACACATTATACCAGTTTTAAATTTTTAAAACCATTCTTTTCCCTTTTTGGTCCAGAAAGAATGTTGACTCACCAAGTGGAATTCTCCTATCCTGTTTCTCAGAAAATCTCTTTTTAGATATAAATTAATTGCAACCCAAAAGGGCTTTAAAAAGTTTGTGCAAATGTTGTGTCCACGTAGGCTGTATCATAGCTGTGAGCTAGATTGGAATCTCTCAATTCCCAAGCATTCAACTTACACGTTGGCCACAAAAACCTTAGTTCCTGCAGCATTCTGGAGTGCAAGTGGGCAATCTCATGTCTTCCCTTTATCTGGAAAGATGGTGCGGGCCAGAATTCGTCATGTGGCTGCTGATCGCCACCACAATGTTGTCCCCGCCCCTTCAGAGACATCTGGTTCACCATAGATCTTCATTTGCAAGCCCCAATGTGGATTCTTGCAATGGAAAAACATTTCCTGGAGTTTGTATATTAAGGCATTTGGAAAATGTACAGTAGTCCTTGACTTATGACCTCAATTGAGCCCCAAACCCTGTTGCTAAGCGAGACATTTGTTAAGTCTGCCCCACTTTACGGCCTTTCTTGCCACATTTGTTAAGTGAATCACTGCAGTTGTTAAGTTAGTAACACAGTTAAGTCTGGCTTCCCCATTGACTTTGCTTGTCAGAAAGTTGCAAAAGGGACATGGCAACCGTCGTAAATATATGCCAGTTGCCAAGCATCTGAATTTTGATCACGTGACCGTGGGGAACCTACAATGGTCATAAGTGTGAAAAATGGTCACAAGTCACTTTTTTCAGTGCTGTTGTAACTTCAAATAATCACTAAATGAACTGTTGCAAGTTGAGGACTACCTGTATTTATTTTTTCCTAGACAACAATTATTTTTACAGAGTAATGTTTTATATATTAAAAAGCCTTCAGAAATGTAGCAAAGTAATATATTTATAATGTGCTACTGAAGTACCTTGGGAAAATGCTTTCATGATCAGGAATTAAATTTTAGGTACTTAGAAACAAGTTGTCAGAAGCTTTGTACTTGCTCCTAAATTAAAAACCTTCTCATCATACTCTTTTAATAATAACAGTAATTTTGGGGAACACATATAATTCCCAGACTAAGGAAATGATAGGTTCTTTAGTCATTATTCCCAGAGGTTCTTCCCATACGTTAAATAAATAGATCTCAGGGATTCTAAGAGCTAGATGGTTGAAGCATTTCTATGGTTGAAATTAGATTCCAAGCTTTTTCATTTCAGCTCCTGGAAATGTCGTTTAACTGCCTGGACGATGTGGAAAGCACCATTCCAGTCAGCCCTTTGCACTTAGCTGTAAGTCTCATTATTATAAAGCCATATTGGGTACAGTTGGGTCAAATTTAATTACGGTAATTACCGTTTGAAAGCCAATGTTACATTTCTTGCAGTGAGGAAAGTGGACCTAAGCTGTAGGTCTGCATCATTACATTAACTTCCTCTTGATCCATAGCTTCTCTAAATCAGTCTGCCTGTTGATGTGCTTTCAGGCCTATAATGGTCACTGTGAAGCCCTGAAGACGCTTGCCGAAACCCTGGTGAACCTGGATGTGCGGGACCACAAAGGGAGGACAGCTTTATATCTTGCCACGGAAAGGGGCTCTACGGAATGTGTGGAGGTGCTCACCAGCCATGGTGCTTCTGCTCTTGTGAAGGAGAAAAAGAAGAAGTGGACACCCCTCCATGCTGCTGGTATGAGCGTGTCTTATTTCCTATTGAGATGCTGGGATTCCTTCTCTTGGTTGCTCTTGCAAACAGACTTGGGGCATTCATTTGGGTCTTTAAAGAAATGACAGTTATTAAGAAGTAGGAAATCCTGTTCATTATATTCTCATCTTATTTCTTACAGCTGCCTATGGGAACACAGATTCCCTCCATCTTCTCATTGACAGTGGAGAGAGAGTCGACATCACTGATGTCATGGACATCCATGGACAGTAAGTCTCCAGCTATAGATGTCTATTTATTTAGTCTATAAGTCATTCCAGTAGCAAGCAGGAATGGGCTTGATCTTTACAAATTCCAGTTTGCTGTACAAATCCAAAGCAGGACTGTATATCCTGCCAGCTGGGCTCAAAATGTGTCTAGGCAATTAAGAGCTGGAGAGTGCAGAGTAAAGAGTTCTTACTCATTTGGGAGTGGGCTTCTACATAGAGGAGAAACACCTGAAATACATTTCCCCTTGAATATCAATCAGGCTTGCAGTTTGCAAGTCTTTTTAGATCCAGCATTGAAGTTGGGTAGCATCAGTGAAAAAGGGGGGATTTTTAAAAATACTTCTGTCAGTAAATTCCCTTTCTTAGAGAGGAGACAGATGGCTTTGGTGATTTACGTGCTTGTAATCCCACTGTTATGATATGCTTTTTATGGAGCAACCCTTCAAACTATTCAAGAAATTTAATCTGGCCTGGTATAAAGAACACAGGTAGTGAATGATGCCTCCATATTCAAACAGTTTCACAGTTTGCCTCCAGTGATTAATTCAAAGTTTCTGCAAGGGTGTATGTCTTATTTGGTCAAAGACCAAAAAACTGATATGGCTGCCTCTTCTTACACAGCCTGCTCAACACTCTGTGATCACCAACAGGCAACTTTTGTGCATCTTCCCATAGGGACGTCAGATCTGTAGAATATATTTTTTTATTTCCATGATGGGGCAAAAAGTATTAGCAGAGTTGAAGACAGACCTCTCCATTTTACTGTTTATTTATTATTAAATTTATTTGCTGAAATAAAGCTTAAATTTGTTTATTTAGGTCTTTTAATAGTGATAGTGTTAGTGAGTTTTATTTTCTGATCATTTTAAAATGTCCTATTTTGTTGTTTTAACCATTTTCACACTGTCTGTTTTAATTGTATTTCTCCAAGGAGCAGATGGCATACAAATATTCTGAATAAATTTAAAATCTTTCTTTTTAACTTATTTAGAAACTGTCATGATCAGATTTGATTCCTAGCACTTTAAAATATAATTACAAATAGCACATCATTAAAACCTCAAATGTAGCACTATACAAACCTGGCTCCAAGCCTAACTCCAAATTGTAGAAGTTAAGCCTGAAAAACTTTACAGGAGAACTTGGTTTTTACAACCTTTCAAAAAAAATTCAAGAGAGGGTACGGGTTACTAAACTAAATGTATTGGAGCACCATAAGAGTACTTAAAAAATGGCCAAAAGGAATACCGTATTTTCCGGCGTATAAGACGACTTTCTAAACCCTGAAAATCTTCTCAAAAGTCCCCGCCGGGTAGCTGTTCTCTGAATTTAAAACCAATCTGCCCCCTAGTGGCCAGCCCTATTTTTTTTTAACAGAAATAAGCACTAACACAGTGTTTCTCAACCTTGACAATTTTAAGGCATGTGGACTTCAACTCCCAGAATTCCACAGCCAGCAGGACAAAGCATTCAAAAATCCCATTTTTCTACATCGTCCATCACTTTATTCTTTTTCAGGAAAAGCAATTAAATAGTAGAAAACAGTAAGCTATATAAATTAAGGACATTACATCTACAAAAAAAAGAAACTTTTGATTTACTTCTTATACCTATAGCAGCAGTCATGAATATATGGAAAAACTTTTTGATTCAGCAAATCAATTGATTAAGAAAGATACTGGTCAAATTAAAATTAAGAAAATAGATGATGGGATCTACCAGAGAGAATATTAAAAAAAGAAACATTTGTTTGAATATGGTTAAAGAAACAGAAAAGATTCTGAATACATATGTCATTCTAAGAGAGATGAATTCCTTAAATAATACTGTATGCTTTCCCCCCCCCCCTTTTATTTTATTTCTTGATATAAGTAATATAATACTGCTGAAATGGCCTAGATGAAGTAAATGTTTTAGATAATTAAATGTGTCTGAATTTAGGAAAATTATAATGTATAAAAAAGAAAAAAAATAAGACCTAAAGGATTAGATGACTAGGCACATTAAATGGAATATTTAAAGATTAAATATATTTTATCAAAATAATAAGAACTATATTATTTCAAGGTTTGCAAAGAAGACATTTTGGGGAAAAGGGGAAATCAACTAAATGTACTATGTGGATTATAGATTATAGAAACCAATTGTTAATGATTTTTCTTTACAAATGTAAACCCAGCAAAACACACTGTTTACCAACTATTAAGTGATTTATGTTTTAAAAAATCAATAAAATATATGGGGGAAAAAATACCAGCTGAGTTCAGGAAGCATTAGGGAAGCAGTGGTGGTCAACACTCGCTTTCTAGCAGCAAAGGAATGGAGCTCCTATTGTGCTCATCTATAAACAGAAATTCAATATTGTACCGTATTTTCCGGCGTATAAGACGACTTTCTAAACCCTGAAAATCTTCTCAAAAGTTGGGGGTCGTCTTATATGCCCAGTCGTCTTATACGCCGGAATATACGGTATTTAGCTCTCTGAAAATCTCAGGAAAGAATACATTTCAGTGAAAATAATACGAGCAGATGATAGAGGTAACCTTAAGCTATGTCCCTCTGTTTGATCCACAAGAAGGTGTCCTAATGAATTCAAATATGTGCGCTTGGTTTTTTTTAAAATTTTGAGCTTGGTTTGTTCTGTTAATCATCGTTTTTTAAAGCAAAATCCTTTCTTTCTACTTGCTATCTATAATGAAAAAAATTCCTAGAACGGAGAACCCAACTTGTTTCTATAGAAGAAGATGCACAGAAATAAGCTTTCTTTAGTGCAAAGCTACAACTGGAAGCTTTCTCAGTATATTCCATCCAAATGGCTTTTCCATTTCTGCTATTTTTTCTTCTTTTCTAAAATTGGCAATAACAGCTAGATGCTCTTTTTTTTGACCTGTGAGAATTGAACTGCTGGCAGCTGGCAGTCAGCAAAATTAGCCTGCAATATTGCATTCTAACCACTGCGCCACCAATGCCTGACCTATTCTCAATTTTCTCACAGGACCCCATTGATGTTGGCGATCATGAATGGCCATGTAGATTGTGTCCATCTCTTACTAGAGAAGGGATCCACAGTGGATGCAGCAGACAGAAGAGGCAGGACTGCACTGCACCGGGGGGTAAGTGGAGGAATTGTTTCTAGACTCTTAGGTTATTAAATTAGCTCTATATTGAATTGATCGAACAAGATCCTGAAATAGTCTTATAGTCGTGGATGTGAAAAATTAGATATTTAAGTGTTCCATTGTAATATAGTAATAGTAAAGTTGGAAGGGACCTTGGAGGTCATCTAGTCCAACCCCCTGCTCAGGCAGGAAACCCTACACCATTTCGGACAAATGGCTGTCCAGTCTCTTCTTAAAAACTTCCGGTGTTGGAGCATTTACTGCTTCTGGAGGCAGGTTGTTCCACTGATTAATTGTTCTCACTGTCAGGAAGTTTCTCCTTAGTTCTAGGTTGCTTCTCTCCTTGATCAGTTTCCACCCGTTGCTTCTTGTCCTGCCTTCAGGTGCTTTGGAAAATAGCTTGATTCCCTCTTCTTTATGACAGCCCCTGAGATATTGGAATACTGCTATCATGTCCCCCCTCGTCCTTCTCTTTGTTAAACTAGACACACCCAATTCTAGCAACCGTTCCTTATATGTTTTAGCCTACAAATCATTGTCTGTTCCTCATCTTTGAATTGTCACACTTGCCACTGATTCCAGAGAGTGTGCTTGGGATTTGGTATACTGTACAGGTATTCCTCACTTCCCAACCATTTGTTCTGTGATCAAAGTTACAACATTGCTGAAAAAAACAATTTCATTTGTAACCTTTGCAGCATCCTTCAGTCATGCAATTGCCTATAGTAGGTACAGGTTCTCCTGTGTCTGACCTGTGTTCCCCCCCCCTTTATTCCATTGTTGAAGAGCAGAGAGAGTGAAGACAAATCTCTTCTTGAAACAGATTTCAAGATAGTAAACTGTTTGCTCTTCTACCCATCAAAAGCAGTGCGATCAATGGCAGCAAAAGAAGGGTCAGGCAAGGGAGAGATTGTCTACCAAAATTGCTTAGTTTTTTTTCCCCCTCCCCTTTTTCTTGCCACAAAATGAAGAGAATGGAGAAAAGGGGATTTCAAGAGCATGGGTGGGTTGTATACTGCATTCATGGCTCCCTGCCTCAGCTGTGGCACGATTGCATTGCTTTTGATGTGTGCAAGACTGTAAGCAGACACTCCAAAGAGGGGGGGGGGAATAGAAGCAAACAAGAATCAAATGTGTGAAACAAACAAGAGTAGTCTTGTCTCCTTCCTACTAGAAAGCACAGTTGCGGTGGTGGATTTGCCAATCCCGGTTAAGGTCATTAACAAGGACTACCTGTATGAAGATTGTAAACATGCTTGTGCTGGAAAGAATTAGTTAGGCAAAATAAATGCTAGTTGAGCAGCATCAGTTTTCATACGAAAATAAAATAAAAGTTTCTATTGTTTATAGGGCAAGATTTATTGTTATTATTACATGGTACTTGGATTACAAGACTGAAATACTTTGACCATGTCACGTGTGCAAATTCATTGGAGAAGTTAATGATGCTGGGAATGGTTAGTGGAACAAGAAGAAAGAGCAAGCAAAAAGCATGCTGGCTTGATAGCATCAAAACTGATACAAAGATGAATTTCCAACAATGAAAGGAGCTGTGCTCGACAGAGTAGCATGGAGAGCACTTACCTATAAAGTCACCAAGAGTCGGATAGGACTGAAATATTAAAACAGCAACTTGGATTTATTGAATAAAGAAAATATTTTGAGTGCCTGCTTTGCAAGTCTTATTTCCACTTGGGATAGATAACTTTTTTTCATTGCTTGCTGTTCTTTTTTTGTAGGCTGTTACTGGCTGTGAAGACTGCCTTGCAGCACTGCTGGACCATGATGCCTTTGTATTGTGTCGGGATTTCAAGGGCCGGACCCCGATCCATTTTGCCTCGGTGTGTGGGCATTCTGAAATCCTGAGGACCTTGCTGCAGGCAGCGCTCTCTACTGACCCTCTGGACTCTGTAGTGGACTATAGTGGCTATTCACCAATGCACTGGGCTTCATACAGTGGTAAGAATGTAGAAATTCATGCATACATTCCTTCATTATTTTCTTGTGCCAGGGAGAGACTACCATAAGATCTGTCCAGTTAAATCACTGCTACAACACTTGGCAAAGTTAATTGCTATAATAGGACATGATGGTTACAGCAGAAGACTGGGATGGCTAAAATTATGGATGTTCAACAGTTTTATGCAGCCTATTTACCTGAAAGGTGATTACATCTCCAACAGATTCAGTGGCTCAATAGATTATAGGATAGATCTTTCCTTCTCGGAGACATCTGTCAAGATCTTTAGATTACTTGCGGCAAATATCTTATGGCTGGATTCCCAGGTGCTGTGGGATGTATGGTCATAGGACATTGCCAGTGTGGATGGTGTCCACATTTTCTGCCTACAGGAGGGCAAAATAGAGAGTTCCCAAGCCTTCCAAAAACCCTACTTAAAATTTGCCCTCAGGCCCCAAAGGAATCCTGTGTGGGTCACCCATGGCTAATGGGATAGTTTGTCCACTCTTGTTCTAGATTGTACCTTGTTCATACCGGCTTTAGTGGATGAAAATTGAAGGCCACACCTCTTCAGTATACAGATCTTTTCATCTGTTTTATTGCAGGAGAATTCAGTGGTGGTGGGTAAATTGTCTTTCTGGCAAGCATATTTGCTATCACTGATTTCTCATTCTGGATCATCTGGTAAACATTTCTGGAAACTATCATCATCATCATCAGAAGCTTTATTTTTTGCATTAAATCACAGGATGCATGTATTGAATTTGATTAATTTGTATTTCCTTACTTCAATTCGGAAAATTTTTCTTGCTGTAGATTACTGTTCTGAAAGGTATCTGACCTTACTGAACTTTTCTTTGTCAGGATTTATATATCATATTAAAGCAAAAATCTTGCCTTAATATAGAAGGTGAAAACAAAAACATGCAGCTGACTCCTATTCTACTTTTATGAACAAATCCAACCACACTGATTTCTGCATTTCAGTGTACCGTATTTTCCGGTGTATAAGACGACTTTCTAAAGCATTCAAATCAGCGCCGAAGTCGGGGGTCGTCTTATACGCCAAAAATTACGGTAGTTTCTGGCGTATAAGATGACTTTCTAGGCATGCAACTCGGCGCCGAAGTTGGGGGTCGTCTTATATGCCGAGTCATCCTATACGCCGGAAAATATGGTAGCTTAAATAAACCTGCAGGTATCGCCAAATGCTTGCAAACAAGCCAGGACTCATAAATCAACTCTAAACTTCAATTAAAATCTGACTTCTAATGGTACCTGGCCATTTAGAAGCACTTCATTATAACTCTGATTTGAATGGTGTTGAAGTGTCAAAATCCTGATTATTGTAATGCTTAGATGGAAGAAGCAACAGTGCTTCAGGAAAGGGTCTGTGTGTTTGGGTGCATGTCTTGCATTCAAACTTGAATTTATTATGCCATTTTTTTCCTGTTACGATATGTAAACACCGCCTTTGTTACAGACTGTCTCATTTAATTCAAGATTCAAAAAAGTGTGGCTGTTAATTTCCAATTTCAGCCTGTGTTAAAGCTGCCTGAATATCTGAAAGATTAAAAAAAAAAAACAGCTCACACATAGAAATCATAGATTTTGCCTATAAAAATGCCATGGGGTTAGAAGGTGATCTAATAAATTCTCTTCTCCCTTTCCAGGGCATGAAGATTGTCTTGAATTGTTACTTGAACACAATCCATTTGCATATCTAGAAGGAAACCCTTTTACTCCATTGCACTGTGCAGTGTAAGTCTTGGTAGATCATGGAGATTTAAGTGTATGTTTGTGCAAATGCATTAGGATCTGCCATTTTTAGCAAACGAGAGGTGGATTTTGCTTTTCAAGTAGAGTTTGAAACTTGTCTCTCAAAATTGCAGTCCTGCTCTGTATGTATGTATAAAACCTCTCTTGGTACCTCACCTGACATTTCAGTTTTTAAGATTCTATAAAATTACAGATGACAGAATGAATTCTACAAAGCAAAATGCCAGCTTGGAATATCAGCTCTCTTTCCATGAGTACCTCTGGGCCTCAAATGGATACACAAGTCTTAAAATAAAATAAAATTAGCTGTTACATCCAGCACAGACCTAACACAAGAAACCACTTGCCCAGAAAAGAAGACAAAAGATAAGGGAACAATTTACCACTTTGCTTTCTAGTAATCTTTATTAAGCTAAAAGAGGCTCTCTTTAGCCACAGCTTATTATTATTTTTTGAAAATCTGAGCCATTTTGGGGCTCTCTTCATTGTTAAACAACAAGGAAGAAGGCTGCTAAGATAAGCTAAAATAAGGAAGTGTGGACTATTTAAAAAAAATTGATGGAGAAATATAAGGGCAGAAAGTTGTGGTTCTAGTTTATTATTTTTTAGTAAATTGTAGCTTGGTCTGCTTTTCTGTGGGTAGCTAAAACTTTCCGATTTTTATGATTCCTGAAAGGCCAGCAATTCTTAAGTGACTTACAAAAAAGCTACTCTTTGACTAAAGAGGGAGTTAAGAAGATGGACGAGCAAAATTATTAGAGATGTATTTGAAAAACCTTTAAATAAAATCCATCAGTTCATAGATTAGCTATGCTTCAAGGATATAAAAAAAATTACTCAAAATTATTTCAGATATGCAAAATATGTGCAGAAAGTTCACTGAGATCACTGAGGCAATATCACAAGTAGCTGGCAATGCAGAGGAGTCAATTTGTAAATTTAGAATATAAACCTGACACCAATTTTTATTCTGATGGTTTAAATATAAGTCTCCCAACACAATTAAAAGCTCCAAGACCTCCAAGAAAATATGCAACTTTTAAAAGGATAGGTTTGGGACTTTTTCCTTATGGACATTAACAACATTGAGAAATCCTTGAGAAAAAAAGACACTTATAGCTACTTGACAAACATTCCAGAGAAGAAAGGGATTTTATTCCATGGAAGACAAGCAGGAAGGAATGACTTAAACTTAATGAGTCAGTTGGAATTAGGATGGATTTTTATCAATCTGATATTTGTAATTGAAAGAAACTCTTAATCAAAAGTTTCAGAATGTATTTTTCCTTTATATAAAATGCTTAAGTAATTCCTAAAGTTTGTAAAATATTGTTGAAAGTGTATTTGAAAATATCTAGGTTAAGAGAAAGTGAAAGAAAAAACATGTATTAGCTTAAAGAAAAAAATAGTTTTAAAAAGGATGTATACAAGAAAAAAATTAAGTAACTTGGAGGGAGTGATCTAAATTTAATGAGTTAATTAGAGTTAGTTGGAATTTTATTGATCTGAAAATGAATTTTATATATGTTAAGAGGAAGTTAAAAAAAGATGTATTAGAACAGTGGTTCTCAACCTTTTTATACGGCGACCCCGGTATTAAGCAGGCGGCGTGCATGCGCGGCGCTGCCCCCCTGCGCGGCACGCATGCGCAGCGCCCCCTGCGTGGCGTGCATGTGCGGCGGCGCCCCCTGCGCGGTGTACATGCGCGGCGGCACCCCCTGCGCAGCGTGCATGTGCGGCAGCGCCCCCTGCACGGCACGCATGCGGCACCCCTTGCGCGGCAACGCCCCCTGCGCGGCACGCATGCGACGCCCCCTGTGTGGCGCGCATGTGTGGCGACGCCCCCATGCGCCACCCCAGAAAAAAAATGGCGGATTGCGTTGTTTGGCGACCCCCCATGAAATGGTCGTTCGACCCCAAATGGGGTCGCAACCCACAGGTTGAGAACCGCTGTATTAGAACATTTTGATTTTAGAAACATTTTAAAAGAAAAGCTTAGTGTTTTAAAATGGATGCAAAAAAGTATTTTCCCCTTTAAAGTTAAAGAATCTGAAAGAATGCAGTGAATTTTAATATAAATAGTGATAATATAAAGATTGTTAAATGTGAATAGAAATACACATTATTTCAACAACAAGGAAGATAAAGCAGAAATGGTTAGATTGATTGTTCTATTCAAACAGGAGAATATATTTATGTTTTTTATTTGGATATCACTTCTGGATTTTGTGCTTGTGATGAAAAGAAAATGAAACTTTAACTGCAATCCTCATGCTTATGACCATTGCAGTATCTCCACAATCACATGATCAAAATTTGGGCACTTGATAGCTAGCATATATTTACAATGGTTGCCGTATCTTGTAATTGCCATTTGCAATCTTCCCAGCCGGTTTCCCATAAGCAAAATGAATGGGGGAATCCGAATTTGCTTAATGACTGCTTGATTCACTTTAGTAATTGCAGTGATAACAATTGTGGCCCAAAAAAAAAAAAAAGATTGTAAAATTGGGTGCGACTCACTTAACAGTTGTCTTGCTTAGCAATGGAAATTCTGGTCCTAATTGTCAGAAGTTGAGGACCACCTTTATTTTGGAACATACAACTGAGTTATGGAATGCTTGTTTCATATTGCTAGCAAAACAGTAACTTTTTTTTTTCTTCCCAAGACCTACAAATTCAACAAGGAGTTGATGGACAAGACTGAATAGCAGATCCCTCTGATGACTTACTCCTTAGTTTTTTCTTATTTTTTACACCCAAAAAGAAAGTAGATAACAGGACATTAAGCTTGATAGGGAATTTTCTTGAAGGAATTGTCCACAATTTGGAGTATTTTGACTAGTGGGAATTTTTCCCCATCTGTTTTGGACCTCTGAAACCCAGATTCAGTAGAGAGGTCTTGAAATGCTTTTGTATTTGTTTGTCTCCCTGAAATAAATAAAATCAACCCATGCTTGCTTACTTTCTTCTCACACTTTTCTTTCTTCTTCAGAATTAACAACCAGGATGGCACTGCTGAGATGCTTGTTGAAGCATTGGGTGCCAAGATTGTTAATAGCAGAGATGCCAAAGGAAGGTGAGTGATTGTGTCTTCCTCTTCTTCTTGGACATACTAGTTATATTACTCGGTATCATTGATCAGACCATAATTCGAATGGGAGATATATCCCCTCAAGATATACTATAGAGACTAAAAAAAATGAGCAGCATGGATTTTGGTGTCTTACTCCTATGGTTCCTGTCTTACGTAGTGCAAAAGCCAGGCATCATTCCATTAAGTTGTATGCCATGAGATTCAAGACAGCTTAAATTTGAATCACCACTGTATGCATCAAATGCTGGACAAATGGGATTTTAATCTGATATGCTCTAGAGCAGTGTTTCTCAACCTTGACAATTTTAAGGCATGTGGACTTCAACTCCCAGAATTCCACAGCCAGCAATGCTGGCTGTGGAATTCTGGGAATTGAAGTCCACATGCCTTAAAATTGTCAAGGTTGAGAAACACTGCTCTAGAGATTCTTATATGTGAGTGGCAAGGATCCCTAACTTTTTTCAGACTTGGACCTGCCCCCCAAATCCTGTGTGATTGCCTTTACACTCCCCTGACTTAGATATCTCACAAGTTGGAGTCAAGCAATTATTGGGAATCCAGCAGGCACTTCATTTGCCAACCCTGCATTATCTAAATAGTTCTAAAAAAACTGGTACTAATATGTTATACAAGGATCTACATTCACATTTACCATCAGTTTCTTAAGATGTCTCTCTCTCTGAGTATTTATTATAGGAAATATGTGCTGTCAATAACAGTGTGGTCTATTGTAAGCAAATTATGTCATGCCTTTTATTATTATTTTTTCCTACCTCTTTAATATTCATTTAAGCTTCACTAAAGTGTGGCAATTGAGAGTGGGTTTTAATAAGGGTTTTGCTGGGCACTACAGAAAGTTTGCTTTCAGTGGATACTACGCACCTTCTAAAAATAGAATTAAGAGATCATCCAGTGAGAAATTACTGAGCTTCTAAAGAAATGAAATGATATCAAAATACATTGTAGGAAGCTTTATATGGCTTTAAAATACCAAAATAAATAAATCAAGTATGTAGAAAAAAAAATAAAAGTTGAAAACAGTGCTGTATAATTTACAATTACGCATCCAAAAATAGAGTTCTTTTTGAAAGCATGACAATTCCATCTTTCCTCTTCTTCCAGGACCCCCCTTCACGCTGCTGCCTTTGCAGACAACATCCATGGTTTACAATTGCTTTTGCAACACCAGGCTGAGGTAGATGGAACTGACCAACTGGGGAGGACCCCTCTTATGATGGCTGCTGAAAATGGCCAGACAGCAGCAGTTGGTAAGTGGTGCATCTTCTATATTTATGCTTTTCTCTCTTTTTAATCACTTTTTTCTTCTTAGGGTAATCATCCTTCTGTCTATCATCATCCTGGGGAGGAATTAGGAACAATATTTGAGCTCGTGTGAGCACTTCCGTGAATTTTGCAGGATATTTTTGTGCCTGAGATCATTTTTTTTCTCCCATCATCCCCCATCATACAAAAATAGCAACAACATGCTATTGTGACATAATACACTTTGCCTCATTCTAGACCAGGGGTCCCCAACCCCCAGGCCATTGCCTGTTCAAAACTGGGACGTACAAGCAACAGTTGAATGCACGAGCACACGTAGCTCCACTTGCATGCCCTTCACTTGTGTAAATGGAGTTGCAGGCGCGAATACACTCACCCACTGCTTGTGCAGAATCATTCCCTTTCCTCTCCCCACCACTACCCCTTTTCAATTTTGGAGTGGCCTAATTATGCAAATCATTTGCAGACAGATTTCAAGCATACAGTTATTAGGAAGGTCTATGGAGAGTCATTCAAGTCATGGTTGTTCAAAAGTGCTTTTTTCAAAAGGCAACTGGACTATGTCTTCATCCAGAACTGATGAAGCTTCTTGGATGAGCAGCGAAATTTCTTCTTCTTCAAGGGAAAAAACATAGTCCAGTAGCCTTTTGAAAAAGCACTTTTGAGACAATCATTATGATGTCTTCCTCTATCACATTTTGTAACGTATAAAGGTTATAACTATTGAAGTGGAATGGTTTAATGTTATTTGAAGATGAAGTGTGTTGTCCCATAAAAACATAAGAGGAAAAGGAAATGTCACAAGCTCGTGCAGTGGCTCTCTATATCTTGAGAAGAAAGACATTTTGTGACAACATAAGAAAAAGTTCTATAGCACTAGATCAGTTTAACTTCCCTTGCTTTCTGGTTGACCTTCCCCTTTGATGCTGGAACTTTGAAATGTCTTCTCCAATATGATTCTGCTTCTGGCAAAAGCCAAATTATTTCAGAAGAGGACAGCGACATCAACCTAGTAGTATAAAAATTTTCTGTCTTGATTTTTGGATAAAGGTGCCCTGCTTTTATTTCATTTTTCTCATTTGCCATTTTAATGTTGGAAGTTGGCTTCTATAACTTTGGGGTTGATGGTTATATAAGAATCTTTTAAATAAATGCACAATCTTTCATGTTGTATTTCCACACATTTTCAGAGTTCCTGCTGTACAGAGCAAAAGCAGATCTAACTGTGCTGGATGTCAACAAGAACACAGCTCTTCACCTGGCCTGCAGTAAGGTACAATGTCCAAACGTGGGATCTATAAAATTAATTTTTGGGAGTATCTTCTGTAGAGTTTTAAGATGTATTAGAAGCTTATGATGAAAGTCATGCCAGATGTGATTAAATGACTTTACTTCCAAAGAATGAGTTTATGTAATTTGATTTTTATTGGGAAGTTGAAAAGTGGCCAACTAGATATATAATAGGGATTATTTTTTTTTAAAAAAAAAGATTTATTAAGAATTTACATAGAGATAAAGACAAGGGAAGAAGGAAGGAAGGTTATGAAATATAATGACTTCTTTTTTTCAAGTAACTGTATTAAAGATTATAATTGCAATAGTAAAAACTAATGCAAGCTAAAAAAAAGGTATAAGCAAAGAAAAAATAAAATATACAAAGGGAAAAAGAAAAGATGTAAAGAAAAGGAAAGAAAGGTAGTAAAGAAATAGAAAAGTTATTACCCACCTTCATCACAAATTCAAACAATTTTAGTAACTTTTCGCCTTCTTTTAAAGCACAACAAATAATCTCTTTTTTGCCATATCCCATTTCTTTATAAACAGATCCATAAAGTATTGTAATTTTAGTCCTGATGTCAGAAAAAGTCTATTAAGGGTTACCAAAAATAACAACATTTCTTTTAACTTTGATCAGATAAATTAAGTTTATATTCATTTCTTTTACTTCTAACAATCTTAATCTTTAATCTATTCAAATAATGCCATGAAATTTGATTGTATTTCTTTTTTGCCTTTTCTCATGAATTTCTTCAAAGCTTTGACAAGATTGTTTGTTAGTCCAATGTAGAAGAATTATCCAAGTTATTCTCTTGGTTTATTGTTTGTATGTATATCCCTTTTAACTACTAAAACAGCCCATTTCTTCTGTATGTCCAGTGTAATATCTTGTAACCTGTCATTTGTAAATCCACATTCAGCTCATTCTGTTTTGTCAGGTAAAACCTGTCCCTCTTCCATAAAATATTTTAGACACAATCTATTTGTAGAGGCAGATATTGCTGTTGACATGTTAATATTAACTTCTGACTCCACTTTTTAAAAATGCCCTTCAGTATTTCAGTGTTAGAATATTTTACTTGTTAGTCAAGTTTATGTGTTCTTCTCTTTTAATTGAAATATTTAGTGTCCAGTTTTTAAAAGCTTACCTTAATACGTTTTTAAAACAATTCAACTTTCCTATGGAAAGAATTCTTCATAAGTAATTCCAAAATCTTATTTCAAATTTATCTGGAACTATTTATAACTTTTCTAAAATTAGTCTTAATTAACTTTTTGCTCTTTATTTTTTTAAAAGTTGTTAATTTGTATTTTTTTAAATTAAGGATTGCAGGCAGACTCATCCAGTATTTTCAGACTTGTCTCTCCAAAGTTTTCTAATAGGTGAAAGGTAGTTAATAAGCAATTTCTGAATGTGATTAGAAAAGAAACTTACTGTCCTTTTAAAGGTACCGCCCAAGGTTATAGCAAGATCACTGTTCCCTTGTTTCCCAGTGTTAAAACCCACTGGAGACTGTAGTCTCCTTGCAAGGAGCAACTGTCTGAAGTACTTTGGGGTGATCTCTTATCTTCTTCATGCAGAGAAGTTCGAAGAACTGGCTCTTCATTCTTTGCTATGGCTACCAGCTCTTGTTTTTGCAAAGCCATCTGTAATCTTACCATTTCTCCAGAATGAATGAATATATGAATAACTATATGAATGAATGGAATGACTATATGAACGTATGAATGAAAAGGAAAAAAATGAAACTACCTAAATTTATGACTTCTGACCTTTTCAGTATATAATTACAATCTTATAATGCTCCTCCCTCTTAGATCTTAAACCCATAAATCATTCTATCTTTTTTTTTCTTTTTTCAGCAAAAAAATCATATAAGGTTTCTAGTCTTTCAGAATAGTTAAACACAGGAATGATTTTGATGATTGTAATAGAAGGATAACTGAAGGCCAGAAATCTGCCCAATGAATTCTAAATCCTTGAGAAGACCCTTTTGGTGATACATGGGCAGTATTGTTGATAATGCCTTTAATAGCCCCTGTCTTTTTTCCTGTTTTACTGGTGAACTCACACTTATAAGAGAGCAAATGTAATCTTCATTTTCTCCCACAAGGAGACAGTGCAGCATAATTTCAGATAGAAACATCCCATCAGCATACAATATTTTCCAGTTCTTTTGTCACACTTTAACCCCCCTCTCCCCGAACCATTGCTTAAAGTTTAGAATTTTCCTGCTGGGGCTTACGTATTCCTGCTTCTGTTCCATGTTAATTGTGTTCTTTATATCCGGGCTTAATTTATTGAAGCCCGTTATGTCAAAGCATATACACTTGCATGAAAAGGGCATGATAAGAAACTCATGCCATATTCCCTATCAGAATTAAACTACAGAGCTGAGTGCAATTTAGGACTTCTTTTATCTTTTCTTTCCAGGGTCATGAAAAGTGTGCCTTGT